TGGAAAGTGACTCTCTAGCTTAGAAGAGCTGTTGTATTACAGTCAAAAATAGAACCAAGGCATCGTGTTTACCCTTCCATTCATAAGAGTGCTGAAAAGTAGCTTCTCCTTACAACATCACTGTACCGTGAAGTAGAGAGGGCAATTAGAAATGGATGGAAATTAATATCTCTTTGACTCCTAAGAGTGACTAGCATGTAATTTTTCCTTACAATATCACCCCTTAATCACACATCACGGTCCCAAGAGTAAGGGAAATGATCACCAACTTAACAACCACTTGCTCGTCAAACAAATTTCCCTTGTTACCCCTAGAACAGAAAGGAGAATCTGCATACTAATGTTAGGGTGTAAAGGCCGGGTTATAGGGGCTCTTGTTCCACTAAACACAAAGCTCTCAGCGTCTGAATATAAGAATTGTATTGCAGAACAGACCTTTCCTGCCTATCATTTAATCAATGTAGCGTAACAATTAATTTCTGCTACTGTCAAAAACAGTTCAATTTATAAAGCTCAAACTAACAGCTATAATTTATTTAAACTCTGGTGTTAATATTACCGGCCTCCTTTGCGCAAATTTATCGTAAATGTCATGATAACACTAAACTCGATTTACTCAATCATTTAACTTAGAAATAAAGCTTTTATCGCGTCGATATATTAGCCACTGCCATCATTGCGTTTGACTTCAGATTTTTTCAGTTCCTTTTGTTTTCCTTAAAGCTGTCCGCTTGGATCGTAACTTAAGTAGTTAAAATCACTCCTCCCAGAACAGATGCTTACATTCCAGTATTTTTAGTTGATTTTTCTCTGAGGACCGAAAGAGGGTGGCGATGATGCCTCTCCAGTCTAGGAAGTACATGTTGTCTATCAACATCATGATGATGGCGATTAAGAGCACGCTCGTACTCCGCTAGGTTCCAACGTTCCTCTGGCTAGGAAGGAAAGAAATACTAAGTTATTTCATTAACTGTACATGAAAAAAACGATGCATCTTCTCTAGTGTTAATAAAAGAAATCTCGTTTATTGGTTACCACTGGCGTCCTCCCCCAATCGCTCCCTCGCCCCGAATTATTAAGGCCAAATCATGGCTTGCACCTAGCGAGGACATATTACAGAGATGTGAGATCTGTTTGTTATCATATCCCTAACGACGGAAAAGTCAATATTACCCCTTGGCTTCTCTGTCAATTTGCGGGTTGGCGAGCCTTTATAAGGAAATATTAAAAGCTCAAAGACTCCCTCCGCCTCCCCCCCCCCCTCGAACTTAATCGCAGATCAAAGGCAAGATGAGCTGACTTTCAAATAGTCACCGCATTCTACGCTTACGCCGGCGTACATTTCATTTTTGTCCGGCGTAGTGTGTCAATTGTTTTCAGTGTCTCGACTACAGAATTGTCATTTTAAGTCGCGCACCTGCTCAGATATCGTATTGGGCGTCATATTAATATTGCTTGTTATTAGTATTGTCATTTAGAAAGTCGTGACAAAATGAAAACAAGACAACACGCCCTGTTTCGCCTCAGATCATTTTGGGTGAATGCGACTTAGCACTTATACAGATCAGAGCTGAGTATCAAGCAAATTGCTGTTTTTTCACCGGTTGCTCGATAACTATGTGTAGTTTTAGCGAATTCTTCCCTAGTTACGAGAACAATGCTGAAGGGCAGCGAAATGGATGAAGTAAGATGATATCCCGCAGTCTTTGCCCACGTTATAATGGAGAGGCATAAAGATTGAAAATTTGCAGATTGATAACAAATTGAATTAATAATGATAATAATCGTACTTATAATGATGATGATAACGTTGGTAAAAAGAAGAAAAAATAAAACGGAATTATACCTCAATCTTGTTCAAATTAAGAAGAACATAAGCTACTAGGTAGCCGATTATCTGCGTCGTTCAATTTGAAAGGGAGAAGTGAAAATCTTAAGTCTTTATCAGCAGTGGATTAATGTTGAATTACGATCAAATGTTGAAAATAAACTTAACTTCGGGGAAAAACTGATCTGACCTTAGTACTTATTCAGCCTGTACAACAGACCTGCAAACGAGAGGGATGGGTTTAAGGCAAGCTAGTCGAGCGGGAAATTTGGGAGGTGCTGGTACTTAAGTCCTTAAGACGATCAAGATGTGAAGATAAGAGGAGGGACTGAGGAGACTTATGTGCGCTTCTCCATATTAAATGATGTTGTCAGTATCTAAAAACGAATATTTCTTGGAGACTTTCGCAGAACAGTCAACATAACTGACAACGCACGTTTTGAATCCTTGTTCGCTGGACCATTTTTTCACTTCTTTGATGAATTCTTACAGGTTTAATGGAGTAAATAAATGGAGTGTCTGAGGAAAACCGAAGCGCACAATGGGCGTCTAACTTCTCTATATTTAATATCGTACCGTTATAAAAGACCTTCGGCCTTCTGGTCGCTTTCCTCCGTTTCCAAACCATCCCATGATTCCATGTGAGTGATCCGTGAGAAATGCAACTGTTAAGAACGCAAAAATTACAAACGCATTCATTTTTCTTGAGCTTGAAAGTGCCATGTCGTTTAAAGTTCTCAACCGTCTGCTTCCTTCTTCAACTGCCTTAAAGGACGTGATCAGCTCTTCTTATGAATTAAGGGGTATCGCCTTAATAAATGTTTTCTCAAGGATTCCCGTCGGGAGCTGAATTGAAATCGATAGCGCGTTTTCAAAGGTTGGTGGGTTGGTTAAGAACAGCCAACGCTTGTTATTCGCCAAAATATCCCGTAACTAAGGAAATTTCTACCCCGACATTTTGTCAATGGTTGTTTGTGACGCCCAGAATTATACACTTGTTTTCCTGTGCCCTGCTTAGCAGGACACGATCTAACAAATAAGCAAATAAGCTGAATAACGCATAGTGGTGCTATGTAGGGAATGATTTGAATAGACAGAGAGGAAAAAGCATTGTTCTATACTATACCATTTGTCACTGAAGTGAGACTGAAGCATAATTAAAGATTCAAAGACGCACGCTGTATTCTGCGAGGAGGTTGCAAATCATGCAGGTTCTTGGATCGAACTTTATGATTGTTTGAAAGAAAACATGAACGCGAATACGTGAGGTCTGGGAGGGAAGAAAATGAGTGGAAATTAACAAATATTCTGCTTGGCTTCTCTCTTTTTTACTGAAATCGACCACATGGAATTCTGCCTGGAGACAGGAGAAAAAAAGGAATGTGTGTGAAACCAACATAATCTCCATCATCATAAAATTATATAATTGTGATTTCTGCTGATTGGCATAGAAAACAACAGTCACGTGGAGAGGCTACATTTAGACGAATGCAGCCTAAACTAAAAAAAAAAAAAAAAAAAAAAAAAAAAAAAACATTGTTGATATTTTTAGCCTTTATATTTTCTTTCAGTACAGTGTAAGAAAGCATTTACTGTCCGAAAGGAAGCTTAATTAATCTATACTACGCAAACGAGTGGGAATAAGATTGTTAAGATTTAATTTACTTTATAAACAGCCTTCCCTAGGCGCTGAGATCCACCCATATCCATGGAGAGAATATGTGGTACACGGAACTCGTCTTCAAGAGGAAGGATGTGTTGCCCTGAAAAGCTAGAGTCAAACAGTTGAATAAAATAAATAAATAAATAAATAATGCTTGCAGACAAACAGACATTGACAGTATACGTGGAGAGAAAGGAAAAAACAGAAAAGCTTCTTTTTCTTTTCAATATGTACTGTTTTTATGTCTGTTCGTCTGTTTACGGAGTTTCTCGCGTGATGTGTGCGTCATGCACGTGTCCAGACTTACCCCTAGTCAAGATCCGAAACTGCTCTTATACTTGTAAGCAACCTACAATTCTAATGAATTTGAATGATCAAACTTTCCTCTCTCTTATCTCCTCGTCGATTCACAGCACCTCAGATTTTGTCCAAGAAAAACCTTTATTAGGTGTCAATCCATCATTTTTCAAAGCAATTGTGTTTTTTTGTCCACGCAATTGATAAATTATTGAAAGATATGTTCGCAGACAAAGTAAAGCAAATGAGCCAATTTTTTGTCTAGTGAACGCCTTACAACAATCTTAAAGAAGGTCACAACAAGTTTGGATGAATTACTTTTCGCTAGCGCTTTCAAAAGAACCTTCGCTGTTTGGTGAGAGCTTTTTGTTGTTTGCCCAGTGCATGCGGTCATAGGTGAAAGGTACGTACTAATAAAAAAAAAAATTTGACTTCAATGATGAACTTACAAATGAAACCAGGAATCTGAGCATAGAATCACTGTAAAACCTAATTGAATTACCCCTTACGTCGCGATTTCTAGGTGCGGCAGATGTTTGCGTGTCCTCTGTTATTTGAGATGTCATGCAATGAACCTTGCATTCTTTTTGATCAGAAATTAAAATAGAAAGGTGGGATTTTGTAATAGGTAAAAATAGTTTTCCCTTTCACGTGGATACGTGCCTAAATGCGTTTGAGAAAGTAATGTTCCAGTTGATTTGAAACTAGTTTACTCATAGGCGCTCTGTCAGTACTTACTTGAGTCAAAATGAATTTACTTAATCTATCTTTAATGGCAAAGTTTTTTCTGCCGCGTTGATTTTTCGTCGTTCGTTCGTTGTTAGGTAGAGCTAAGTCAGTTTAAGAAAGTCGAAATTGCATATTTCCTCTGACCCTGTCTCGTCCCCTCTCGCTCGCCTTTAATCGTATTATCTCCTTCAAGATTTCGAATGAACTTGGTAGAAGAAAAAAAATTAAATGCCTCTAGTCTTTGCAAGAGTCATCTGGGCTCGTAGGGCAACATCTTGCCACCCAGAGCACTGGTTAAAAATGAGAACGATAACCCCCTCATAACAACAGCAACGAGAATGATAATTCTTCGCTTGAACGTAGATTATTGTGAAAGACCGGAACCCTCGCATCCTTTTCATCTCATTCTGATGTATTCGCAATTCCTACGTAATCGGATACTGTCGACGTATTTTTTTTATCGGTCACGCCTAATGTCACGCTAAATTGTTACAGAAGTGGCGTCCATCTGTTAAAACTCTGAAGATACCGTGAAGGTTTTGCGAACTCATCTTTTCAGACGAATAATTTTGAAAGAACATGTCGGAGTCAGCTGCGTTTCTTTTTCTTTTATTGAGTACAGGTGAGGCTCCAAATCTGTCAAATTTAAAATGATTTCACAGCGGTATCGTGAATGATTGAGTAAGCCTCCACAAACTAGTGGTTCATGATTAGCAATCCAAAATGCTTCAGTGGTTTTTAATTAACCCATTTCCTTGGTCGGAATACAGTAAGCTGTCTTCCCTTTAGTTTGAATTACTGAAAGATAAACTATGAAATGGAAGGGGTAGTTTTTGGTTACGATTTGTTACCAAGGGAAAGAAAAAGCTCCAGAGGATGGGCCGAGAAGTTTATTTTTCAAATTGTATTCAATACACCACTTGACTGAACAGAACGAACAAAGGGGCGCTGAATAAGCTATTGAATTTAATCTCCATCAAGACAATATATATCCCTCGTAGCGAGCTTACAGTTCCGTTCGAATTTAGTTCGACTAGTTGACATTCTCTGCTCGAATATTCAACTCACGTAAGTAGATATTCAAACTAATTAACTATATGACACTTCGCTGAAACCGTGTTTACAAAAGCGAAAGAATCGCGAGGTAACCATTGAAGGACCTCCATTTGTTCATTTGAAACGAGGATTACTTTTGATTGAGTGGTAAACTGGGAAGGCAGTCTATTAAAGGTCAAATTAGGTAGCTGGAGGAAACAAAATGGATTGGTCGCTCTTGAAATGAACACGGAAAAATTTAGCAGACGCGCGTCAGTCACATGATGCTGTCATTATGGTCTAGCTAGCGCTGTTTATTATGTTTTGATTTTCTTTTTCCTTTTACTTGTACGAAGCGACAGATATGATTGGTATTCCTGTAAGAAACCATACAAGTGACCATCGTTAACTGCTCTAAAAGAGAAAGTGTGATATCGATTCTTTGTTCACACCGAAGGGTGAGCAATTTGATGAATGTAATTGATGAATTTTATTGGAGCATATTACAACAACCCAGCACGTGAGTAGAAGTAAACTTTGAAAAAATTCAGTCACCAGAAAGTTAGAAAATATCAAGAGTACAGCAATCCCTGTCAGCACCGCGAATTCGTGAGGAATGAGGCGGAAATTAAGTAGGTGTATATATTTCACAGCCTGCTTAATCTCGAATTAACTTAGCATTGTTCAGCTATCCTATTTCTGTCACGCTTAAGTAAGGAAGAACGCGCGACAGAATTAAAAATAAAACAATAACAACAACAACAACAGCGGCTGGTGAAAAACGCTCGCCTAATTGACACGGCAATAATTTATGTGTACACTATTAATGATTTAATTTCAAAGACTGTTTTCCACTGCTACTTTAAATTTATCCAGGGTACTGTTGGATATCAATATTCTTGTTGTTTGTACCTTCCTTCGAAAACATCGTGCTCAGGAACCCCACCCTACTTAACTAACGTCTTTGCGGTCAGTAGTCTTACTGTAGGCGCGGAAGCTCATTACCGGCACCGGATCTTTTCCCTTTTCTGAAATGACTAAGCATATTTCTGCTCATTCTGGAAACTTTGCAGCGTCTTAGAAAATTCCCCGGGTTGTTCTGGTTGTTCACCCTCTCTTGTATGGAGAGAGAGGCACTTACTGTAAGGGTTAAGTGCTTTTGCCCAGAAACACCACCTAAAGTAGAGACCTTAGGCATTCCGTTGAAACTAATTAATTATTTTCAGTTAGAATTTCGCAAATGACTGAATGTTTTTACCGTATTTTCCTGCGCCCCGCAGAAGTCGGGCTTTCCGCTCTCAGACCACGCAAACTTTGGTTACAATTCACGTTGTGGTTTTGCAGAGGAAGGCTAAGAATTTTAGATGGCTTTAAAACGCGCCTACCGAGCTGTTTTCTGCCCATAAGATCTTTAGTTTTGCCAAGTCCTCGTTGCAGTCGTTGCCGGGGTTCCCTCAAAGTTCCTTATAAATACGCTTAAAGTTTATGCCAGGGTCACTCCCTCTTTTATCCAGCACGAAATACCACAGGCAGACAACACTATGTGTTCCTGGTAAATAATTGTTGACATGAAACGAATAAAATTTATGAGGGTTATGGATATAACATATCTAAATTACTTCTCGGTCTGATTATTCCAATAAAGTTAAATACAATGTTAATAAACTTATTTGTGGTATTTTTACGCCTTCATGGGCCGTTTGAAGCGTCTTTTTACGAAATTACTTTTGGCCGGCCATTTTGAGAGCTTTCTTCTAAACTCTTAGATATCTTGTTCGTCTCATGTCAACAATTGTTAATCACGAACACACAGTATGGTGTGCCTGTGGTAATACATAAAGCCTCCGCCTTTCCCATAAGGAATAGTGATCTGTATTATCTTCCCAGCGAGATGACTGTGAAATTGTTATTGCGTTTACACAGGTCTGTCATTGGTCAGCTGCAAAGTAGGAGTATGTAACACGACATACTTCATCTCTAATGGACAGCAGTGCCAGAGAGAAATGATCAAGAATCTGATGACAAACCCGAACACCAACTGCAGGTAGGTATGCACGCTCTTAGGGTAGCTACTTCAAGAAATTTTTTGTTTTGCTTTGTTTTGTTTTTTGTTTTGCTTTGCTTGTTTTTCTTTGCTTGCTTTGCTTTGCTTTTTTCTGTTCTGTTCTGTTCTGTTCTGTTCCGTTCCGTTCCGTTCCGTTCCGTTCCGTTCCGTTCCGTTCCGTTCCGTTCCGTTCCGTTCCGTTGCGTTCCGTTGCGTTCCGTTGCGTTCCGTTGCGTTCCGTTCCGTTCCGTTCCGTTCCGTTCCGTTCTGTTCTGTTAAATCTTGGTTAAGTATGGAGATAGAAAGTCAAAGAAAAAACCAAAGAAAAAAACAATAATGAACAAGGATGGCTTCCGACTGAGGCGATGAAATCGGATTATAAATAAGACAGTTGTCACAAGTGATCTCCGAACAAGTAACATATTGCTATTTTATTCCCGCTATCGATGAAATGAGACTTCAAATTCGTATCAAATAAATGGAGAAGGAGAAGTGGCCATTTTAGTTGACTTTTAACACTGTAGACAAAATTTTTCGAATCACTCGTTGCTAATAGAGTATAAAGGTGGGGCCATAAAAAAATTGACCACCCATGAGGGGGGTCACTTGAATGCTACAGAGCCTTTTGGGGGAATCAGTTAAATTTTGTTTTGACACAACCAAAATCCTCCGACCCTCTACCCCCCCTGGGATAAATAACCCATTTCTTGGTGAGTAAATAGTGGGATGTGATACAATCCTTCTCACATGAATTATGACAATTGGCTCTTTTCTATTTTGCAGTTACGAATACGAGAGGGAAAAATCCTGTCTGAAGACCCACGTTGCAACTTGTTTGAGTGATTATGTTGACCACGTGACGTCACTACTTCTTCATCAATTATACCATTGTGGCGACCTCACTTACCAACCCTCTTTCGCCAATACATTAATTCTTGGAAAGATCAAATGCAAGGATGAAGCATTTATGGACACCGAGTTTTGCTGGGAGTATTTCCGAGATAAGTTAAATTCCAATCGGTCTGACCCATCTTTGTGCAGGTGAGATTTGGGATGATTGCGTTGGTGCCATTGTATTTTTTTTTTTCGCGTTGCGTTTCCATATCACTCAGATCGGCAAACCTTGATTCCTATGCCGTGTAGTTTTTCAAATACCCCCCCCTTAAGAAGTGAGGGAAGAAGGAGAAATAATTTAGAAAAGGACGTGTATTTGCATGCATTTCTTTGAGTTCCAAACCTGCAACCTTTTTTTACGATAAAACACTTGTGACTTACTTTTAGAAGGCTCATTCTAATTCAAGATCACTGAAATACTACGTTTTTGTTTTGCATTTTTTTTTCTTTTGGTTTATTATTCGTTTCATCTGAGCCACCTTTACTCGATATTTCTCTTAAGTAACGTTTTAGTCCTCCATTTGCCCCTCTTAACATGGCATTTGTAGAAAGAAACCGTATTTTTGTTAACAATCTTAGATAAAGCAAGCATTCGAAAAAGAAAGTCAACAGTTTGTGAAGGTTTCTATCAGCTTTGGTTATTATGCAGGGGGATTGATAATAGGAGATTATTGTCAATAACTATCTTACTTTATTTCATGAACTAGATGATGTACAACTTTAAATCTCTATTGGTCTAAAAGTATACTAATTAATGGTACAGTGATATTTGTTCTAATCTGTTTTCAGGGAATATGCTTTGGCAAAGCATTGTATAAATGAAAAAGTTATGGCAAATTGTGAGATATGCAGCTCGCTTGTGAGAGATCATTACAATCCGTTTTGCGCAAACAAAAGCGATCCACTAATGGTCACGAATGGTACTGACTTTTTTTTTCTGATCATGTCTTCTGTCTGTCTATCTCTCTATCCCTCTGTCTGATTGTCTGTCTGTCTGTCTGTCTGCCTGTCATAGCCTGTCTGTCTGTTTAACTTTCTGCCGGTCTCTTGTTGACTTTTTTTCTGTCTGCCTGTCTTTCATAATCTGTCTGTTTGGTTGTCTGTTGGTCTCTGTCTGTTTCTTTGTCTGTCTACCTGTCATAGTCTATCTTTCTGTTTGACTCTCCGTCGGTTTCTGTCTGTCTATCTCTCTGTTTGTTTCTTTGTCTGTCTGCCTGTCATAGTCGAACTAACTGTTTCACTGTCTGTCGGTCTCTGTCAACTGTCTGTCTGTCGTTCGATCTGGCGGCCGTTAACAATGTCTCTTATTTGAAAAGAGGCCTGATTTCAGTTTACAATCAGTATTATTGTTAAATTTTTTGATAGGATGTCAGGATTTAGCGAAGCCCCTTCCGTGTTCCTCTTCCTCAGTATACAAAACAGCGTTAGACTGCGAGAGAATTTTTTTGAAGAGCTTTATGGAAAACGACAAAACTGATTGCGGGTATGTTCATAATAGTTCTTATTTTGCTTTAGGCTTTGCCCATCATACTTGTGTTTGAGATGGAATTTAAAGTATAGGAGCGATGATTTGGAATAATACTTGAATTAAATTTCAATTATACGAACGGTACATTAAATAATGTCAAACCATACTGTTTGTCATTTGCTATTCTGTATCAGGATATCTTTGACAACTATTTGTGATACTTCTTTTCCTATATGTCTAAGGACGCGTTAGCCTCCAGTTGAAATATAAATCTAGGAGTATTTTCTCTACTAGGCGAAAAGGTATATAAGTAGATATAGATAGCTGGCACTGAGTGAACCAATCAGAACACTAGGTATCTTAAGGTATCTATCATTTACGCTAATAGAAAAACCATTTTTTTTGTATATAATTTTCGTTCGTGTACAGCTTCCAGTGCATCATTTTAGAAAAAAAAAAAGCAGATTGACAGTTTCTATACATTTACATGTTGAATAAAAAAAAAATTGGGAAAACTCAGATTTCAAATTTCAACGAGAACCATCGAGTAACACTGGGTACATTACTTTAAACTTGTCCTTTTTTTAGCCAATAAAACGAGAGGGTTACGTTGACATTTCACTTTGATAGTATTCCTTGTAAATTTCCTACATTATTTGTACAAATGTTATTTCCATTTGGATTTTTTTCTGTTGAAGCGTATGGTCACGAGTTGAAATCAAAGCTGACGTAGTTGAAAAAATACACTGATTGTGAGATTTGCGGGAGAATGGGGTTTTTGTCATTATTTATCGCCGGGGGTGTGGGGTAGGGGTGGCAGGAGTTTGTTTTTGTCACGATAAAATTTACCTAATCCCCGGCCCCTTCAAAAGCAGTTAAGTGGCAGTCAACTCTCTTTAGTCCCCCCCCCCCTCCCTCCCCCCTTATACTCTGTTGGTGACAACTGGTCCCCACCCCGTTCCTCGTGAAGTAATCACCCCAAATCCTCTGTCCTCGGCGATGAATTAGAACAGTTCCCTAACGATATTTGATCTACATCTTGTTTGCAATAGACCTGCGCTCACCACACTGAAAAGTTGCTTGGATGAGCAGTTATCTCAGAGGTGTAAAGACGACTCTATTAATCGGCGAGTCGTGGCTGACATAAGGAAAGCTGTAATGGCGGTGCTTCGTGGTCCAAGATTCTTTTGTGATGCAGTGAACCTACGCACAATCGATCTTGATTTCAAAGCTCGTCCCACGATCCCTTGTAAAGCAAACTTTTTTCCAGAGATGGAGAAATGCGCCAAACCTGTAAGGATGGAGTTCAATGCACAAAACGGTATCGGTGGGGAATTTTGCAGGTAAACAGTTGTGAGCTAGAGAGTAAGCCTACGAGGATGGGAAGGGGAGATTTGGAGATAGGGAAGGGGGGGGGGGCCGTAGGGGGGAAACTGGCTATGCGAGGAGTAGAGCCCCTTAATTAAGTCAGAGTTTTCACAATTGTTTGGTAAAAGACTGGTGCTTGGAAATTTAAGCCACGGATCGCGAGGGAAGTAAGCTGACAATATGGAGTGTTACAGTGTTTTTAAACACTGCAATCATTCAAACTTAGTTTTATACATACAATAGTGGTCAAGAAGTCTACTTTTTTACTCTAAGTGATGTTCCACCGAGGCTTGGCTAGAACTTTTAATACTATCTTATTCTTTGATTATGTTGCATAATTTCGCTATCGTTGTTGTTGTTGTTGTTGTTGTTTATTTTATCGCAATTGTATCTGTCTCTTTGTTTGTTGTTGCAGTGTGCAAATTATTGCAACCGCTGTAGCCTTCTTGCCAATAGCAAAAAAGAGTTAACTAGCCTTAAAGGGCAAAAAAATTAGCGATTAGGCGTAAGAATTGACAAATTTTAACCGTTAGTCATAACAAAAGAGAACCGTAAAAATGTTTTCATTTCTAGAATGTGTCATTTTGTGTCATTTTGGGTTAATCGTTAGGCGTAAAACGGCCAAAATTTTTAACCGTTAGCCATCACTCCATTTAGACTCTCTTACATTCGTTTCAATTACTAATTAACCAATAAAAACATTTTTTCTTCCTTTTGTCCGTTTTCTTCAGCAAGTTCCGCACAGCTTTAAGTTGTTCCAATGGTGTGCAAAAATCCTTTTGTAAGTTTGATGAAAGCGTTGTTGGTATGATTCAAAGATCCTACTCATCGTTTTGCGTGGATGGAACCAGCACTGGTGGAGAGGGCCGTAACAATACTGCATCTTCTACGTCAGCAAGCTTTGCTTTTTTATCTGCCTTTGTTTTTCAAGTACCGATGTTATTGGATGCCATCAACTCCATTTTGTTTTCTGTACAGTATTGATTTCTGTAACGTATTATGCCGTTAGGAATTTTTCTCCAACTTGCATATTTACCACAGTCGCTTTTCTGATCGACGTCTTTTCATTTGTTGTTCACCTTTTTAGTGCGGCCTGTAAGTCTAACTTGAATTAATATTTTATTGTTCGTGAAACTTTTCGAAGACCTTGTGTTATTTTCCTTTGTTCAGTATCGTTCCCCCCTGGGAGGGTAGGTCAGAGGAGGCGAGGGCGGGGAGGGGCGGAGATTAAAGACAATCAGATTTTATGCCCGCGGAAACATAGTTGCCTGCCAGATCTTTTGGTGTCTATATTGAAATTTTGAAGGTGTTTATATAGTCTATAGTTGCTGATAGCTTTAGGAGTTCCTAATTATGTGTTCTTGACTATGCGAAGTCGCTGTTGTTTTTGCAGATATTTTATCCCTACACAGTTGATTGAAAATAAAGAAGACAGGAAATTGAAGAAAGATAAAACAAAGCGAAAAAAAAAAATTTTATTCATTTGATGGAGCAAATGACGAAAGTAGGAAGAAAAGCAACCCTTCCAACTAATAGTGATTTTTTTCTGATCTGTTTGGATTCTTCTTTGCTTATAAGGATTTAATTGAAATTAAGTAAATACGTTTAACAAAACTGTTGTAGTCAATTTAATGTGTGCCACTTATCAGACAATTTCACTCAGAGTACTACTAGACTGACGTCTTTCCACAAAGTGCCAAACTGTATTTAATGTATGGTTCTAGGGTATGCTATGTTAGCCGTAAGATGTCAGATATTCGGAGTCTCTTTGTATATTCTAAAATATTCGCGTACACACACTCATAGGTGCTTAGGCACTTCCCGAATGGCCTACAAGGAGATGTTCCACCCAAAAGGAACTCCATTTTCTCACGGTGTCAACGAACATCCTAGCAGCAGTTAGGCAAAAATGAATGAATTTGAATGATCAATCATGTGTCGAACGTTTCGACCATAGGTTAACGGACGGCTAAGAACTATAGATTCAAACAAAGAGAGTGCACTAGAATAAGCAGAAAATTTCCCCAAATCATGTTTTTTTTCTTTCTTTTTTGTTTAATAGTAAATTCTATCAAGGTTATTTTGCGTCTGATCTTTTTCGGCTTGTGTTTCGCGCGGTCTCGAAGCAGATTTACACTTTAAGTTTTCCTATCGATGGCATTATCTCTATTCACATAAGTTCATTAGGGTGTGCACAAACCGCTGGTCGAGTTTCATCAAACGAGAGGCAGAGGAATGCATTTATTTTACTGAAAGAAAGAGAAGGAGCGGCACAAGGCTGGCAACCAACTGGAGCAATGCACTTGAATGTTTGGTGTTGCCATGAGAACAGAAGGGATTATTTATGGTGGCGGTGGTGTCGAGAACTTCCTGTTGAAAATTGCAGTGAATTTTTCGAGCATTGTTGATACATTCCCGGGCTTCCTGATAATCATTCATATAGACGCTGCAACAGGACAACACAAAAGTACAATAAGTAGAAACCAGTCATTATTTATCGCTCTGCGGGGAGGGAAGGGGGGGGGGGGGAACGGAGGGGAATCAGTCGTCCTTAACAGAGTTGAGAGGAAGGAGCATAGAAATTTAATACCTATGAAAGGGGGGGGTCAGTAGATCATTAACAGAGTTGAGAGGAAATTTCATTGTGGCATAGAAATTTAATACCTATGAAAGGGGGGGGGGGTCATTAGATCATTAGAGATCATTTGTAACATGCTGCTAAAACCGAACTTCGATAGATTTAAGTAAGGATGACTAAGAAAGCGGGGGTTTGATGACGAAATCTTTTACATAGAAACATTATTTAAGCATTTGTTTAGTCAATGACTCTAATCTAACAATCATGAAAAATATCAAAGTAGGAGAAAAAGTAACTACCGATGAAGTGCACGAACCTGCAAGTTACTCCGCTTTGCCGGTCCGCCGTTGTTGAAGTTTGATAGGTATTACGAAACGTTCTAGCGCAATTTTCTGCCTCGTTAAAGAACTCGTCATCACAATCCACAAGGGGTAACACACTAGGATGCAGCTCGCTCGTGTCCAGGCTCACGTTGTTGCAAAACAGGCGCTCATTAGTCAAAGTCGCTTGAAGAGCTTTCTGTGTGTCCTCTATATTTTTCATTGTTGTCCTGCAAGTGCCAAGTCTATTTTCGAGGCATTTTCTGTTCCTATCATTCTCTTTGCTGCAAAATAAGGGACATTACGTTTTTCTCATACACAGACACGTTTATGATTAATTTGCACTAGCGAGGTCAAACGTGACATTTACCACAAACGTCTCTCAGCTGCTTTCACCTCAAACTCACATAAATTTTAACCATTTTACACGCACGAGAACCAACAGGGTGTGTCTCCAAAATATTTCCATAACTATATTGACTAGGCCACAGAGTTATTTACGATAATTTATGAGTAATACAGTAAATCCACACGGTAATACACTTTGTCTGTTTTATGGTACTTCGCTGCAATATGTTTAGAATTACATGTCATTGGTAAAGGAAACATCTTAGTAAGAATCCTCATAGCTCATGAGTCACTTCTCTAACCCTTTTATACTTCATGTTGATAACCTTGCTGTCGGCTATGATCGGACAATTGAGGCAGCCAATTATACTAAGTCCACTCAACTAAATCCACCAATCACAGAATTGATCTCAATAACCATAGCAAAAACCACTTAAAAAAAACAAAAAGACAAAAAAACAAACAAAAAAAAAAAAAACTGGAGAATTTCCAAAATGGAAGAATTATTAAATCAACACATTATTGACCCAAGACACTCCACCGGAGATATTTGTTCTAGGTGTATTTGTTTTTTCGGAAATTAATCGGTAACAGGACTTCTTGTCGTCCAATTCTGTCTGTTGTGATGCGGGTGATTAACAAAATCGGACTCCCGCTCCGCGGTCGTCCGATTCTGTTAATTACAATAACTGCTCATAGGACTCCACTCAGTCCTATTACCATTATTAATCATCATGGTGGTTTCATTTTCCACGTAGAATCCTGTTTTTTAATTCACTAATTTGAAGGCATCTCCTAAATAAGAATTTAATTTTCTTAGCAAGGAAAAATTATGGAAATGAGAAATCATTTTATTTTTATGTTGGGAGTTGAGGAAGCTTTTCTACGTGTAAATGATTTCCGCGTTCGCTGCTTATAAGAAATGTAACATGTTTTTTGAGCCACGTTTGGTTATACGGTTCCAACTTTGAACAGCGAATCTTCGCTATCATACAATCGTTACTAACCAGAATTTTCAACCCCCAAATTCCCGAAAATTTAGGACGCCATTTCTACTGACCTCTGTTGAAATAGCAAACCCATCATAGTCAATCCGGTCATTTCCTTATTAGCCTGGAAGTACAACCCCCTCCTCCTAGGGATTAAGGACTGTGTTAGTGCCCAACTCACCTACAGGTGTGATCAGCTTCATTGGCAAATTTAGCAGCTCCTTCATCTTCACATTCCATGGCCTCTTCATAAATAAGCGAGATGGGGCATTCCAGTTTAGCGTGAAGATCCGTGCAAGCTGCGAAATGAGATCGCGAAAAAAGGAAAGTGTTGTATAAACTAACGAATCAATCAATCAAGAGAAAAGTTACATTTTGCTCATGAGTTTACATAAATGGAGTGAGCAATTGAGTCGGACAGGCAAACGGACGACCGAGAAAGTAGATTGAGCGAGAAATCTGTACAAATGAACTTAAATTGAAACACACAATGAAATCGGCTTAAATGAATCTTTTGGGGCCATTAACTTTTGATTTCCCTCATAGAGGATCAGTAACGATATTATCATCACTGTCATCATCCTCATTATCATCATTAGCAACTGAACCTTTCTAATTTCGAAAGAGTTGTCGCATATCGATTCTTTGTCGGTATGAAGACAATGTCTTCTATTAATAAAAACAGACTTACCTGACTGGTTGGTGCCGCTAACCGGGTCTTTGAAATTGGGAGCACAGAAGGGGTTGTAATCATCTATTTTCAAGTAATCGCAGAGTCCTTCACACGCTGCTCTAGCCACCGTATTGCAGTCCTCTTTCGCTTTGGCGTAGGGTCTTCAAAGATTAGACATTGAGGTTATAGTAGGTGGTAGCTTGGTAATGAGTGCGGTTTGTTGCAGTTACGTTGGACTTTTTTGAGAAGATCCTTTTTCGATAATATATATTATCATATCATGTATTAGGTTTTGAAAGCGCCAGCAAACCTTCTCACTAGTATGGGGTTAGACTCACACCCCTTAATCATTGAGGTTGGGAATCCCCTTGCTTGCTATGATAGGCTGCATGAGTAAGCGAGGAGATTCTAAACATATCTTCAATCTTTCTCATTGCTTTGCTGATTTCTGATCATTTAGGTTTGATCAGCTGGGTGGCGTGGTCGCGGAAGGTTCTCCAGGTCCGGAGTTAAACGAATCGACTCTGAGACCAAGGTTTCGGAGGTTTATGGAGGTTTCACCCCACTGCAAGTTCGCCCCTTACCAACTTTGCAAGTTCGCCGCATGAAGTGAAAAGAGTTCGCCTCCCACCTTTGCCAGTTCGTCCCTGACTCTTTCATTTCGTATGAATACGGCAAACCTTATTCTTTCGCTATGGAAATCGTTATTTCTTTTAAAGATATTGTAGTGAATTGGTTTAGGTGTGCTCAAACTTGTTATCCCTAAGGGGGGCGATCTCGCTGAGGTGGTAGGGGTAAACCCAGTTGCAGTCTACGGTGACAATCCTACTTACCTGCATGCATTAGTAACGTTATTCCTTGATTGACTAAACACAGAGTGGAATTCTCTCCAGCACTCGTAAGCTTTCTTCAGACGTTCTGGTGCGCATTTGGTGATGAGCCACAAGAATGGGCCAATATTACCGGTATTGACTTCTTCGTCCCCACAATTGTACGCATACAAGAGCATGAAATCGGTGATTTGATCCGCCATGTCTTTCAGAACACTGTCGTCTTTTACGCAACGATCCACGTGTTTACGAAGGCATATTTGCAGTTCACTGCGGCCAAGGCTAAGGAATAAAATAATGAAATACGTCATTTAGCGTAACAAATGAGATCTATAGGTACCTTTGCCGCACACGTTCTTTAAAGCTGGCTCAGGAAGGGCTAATAATATAACTCAAGTGGGAAAATGTGCTAGAGAAGACACTTCTTCACTGTACCACTGGTTTAAAAACGATGAAAAAGAGAAAAATCCGTAATTCGTCGCACATGGAGACAGCTACGTAAAAACTGTAGAGGCAAAACCGCAAAAAAAGAGCAAACAATCAGTGCCTGATTAAAATTTTTGCATTAAAGTGGATCTAACCTGCAAGACATAAAGGGCTTCTGCTTCAGTTCTATCATCATTGCCCGTTGACAGGCTAGCCCTCCATTAGTAAAACTTCCTAAAGAACATTTTCCGATGTTCACGCCTTCTGTTTGAATCTGTATAACTAAAAGTGAAAAAATATAAGGTAAGTTCTAATCAATTAATCAAAGATCAGCGGCATATCGTCCCCGTTGTCTCCGAAAACAATAACGAGACGATATCGGTATGATGACAAAGAAACTCTGTCCAGAAGATTGTTGACAGCAGCGACGATCGGCATTAACTCGAATTTAATCGAGTCACGATCGCCGCAGTCGAATAGGCCGTTAGTAATCATTCATTTTGGTTTCCCTTACAGTTATTCTGGAACGTGTCAGACAGCCCGGACGATCCGAACGATAATATGGAGCTTTTTTTCATCTCTGGGTGAAATCAATTCGTTAAGGTAAAGGTGTTATTGAAAATTTTCCTTTTGGACGCTTTGAGCTAGATAAAGACAAACCTACAAAAACAAAGCAAACAAGCGAACAACAGGCTCAGTGAACATTGTTAAATAATCCAACGATCTTGTTTTGGGAATTATTCAACAATTTTAGCCTTCGGTGGATAATTTTAAAATATATTTCTTTAAGATAAATTTAAGGAAACCATAAGGAAATCATAGAAAAAGGATGATTACGCAAGCTACTGGATGGTTCTGAACTCGCAATTTTATGTAGCTGGAGCACTAAGTCAAGTTAGCGGTCTAATTTTTTTTCAGTGATAACACTTTCAGGTCCATTTGGCAACAGGTAAACGTCTTAAAGACGTTTTTGTCTTGTTAACAATATGCAGAATGACTTTTGATTTAAGCGAAGCGTTTGACGGAGAATTTGCCCAACTCTTATTTCAATCTAACATTCTAATCCAATCCCAAAAAGGACCTGGAAGAAATATGGATATAGTGATATGTTTGCGCAGGTGATTGATCGATCTAGATTTTTCAACTCGCGTGTTTATCGGTCATGTAGCCCCAGTATGCAGATGTTGACGCTTCAAGCACGCGAGCAGTGTTTCAGAGTGATCTCTTTGGCTTTAAATCGAACACAGGCATTATCTGTAGCAGCATGATTCCAAGATAGGGTTATCATATAAAACTATTGGCTGAAATGTTTTTTTCTTAGAATCGCTTGAAAGCGAAAGACTTTCATCAATGCGACTTTAATCGAATTACCACGCACTCCTTCGACCGATGATAAAACTGCAAGTAGACCCTAATTTTATCAACTTGTCACGATTATAATAAAGATAAACAGCTTTCTTCGTAATTACAAAAACTTTCTAACGTGAGATAACTACATTATGCCATAGTTTGTATTTCACTTGGCTTGCTAGGGACTTTCTTTGAAGCTTAGTCAAAATATCTGTGAAATAATGTACCCACCTGCCATTATAAACACGAAAGAAGTTCCTTTGAAAGGGTCATTCATCCTCTTGGAAATTCGGGTCTACAAATTTTGAAACTACTCAGTAACTTAAACTCCCTCACGTTCGAAAGTAATTAAAAATATTCTGAAATATGCTTACAATGTCATTTGGTGATAAGTAATGTATGCATGATTGTTTAGAAAATAACAGCATTAATTTCAAAGAGGGAACACAAATAATTTCCATAATATCTGCAGGGGTCGTTCTAGAAGCTGTACGATTACGTGTTTCTCAGTTGTCCCAGTCAGATGTCCATTATTGGAAGCAAATTCAGGGTAAAAGTTTGCACGAGGTCTCAGAAACTAAATATCTTAAATGATTTTCAGTTAGGTTTATCAACAGGAATACCTAATTTTAGATCACATTTCTGCTTGGATATGTGTTCCGGTTGGACGGGTTTGAAGTCGAGGCAGATTTCTAACAGTAGACATTCCTTGTTACGTCAATTTCCCAGCGCAGTCAGCGCCGTCCTTCCACATACGTCGTTTATCTATAGTTTCCCAGGACTGACCAGCAGAAATAATTTTAACTGACACCATGGTGTATTAGTGTATTTTATGAAGAGTTGGAAAGGTGCCACAATGAACCAACGTTTTTCGAAAGACTGTTCTAGAATGTTTTAGTAAACATTTTGCTTTAGATGCTCTTGACCTGTTTATCAATGGACATAGCAACCAAACAGTGATGCACTCAACTGGCATTACCGCATTGTGAATGATCAATCGTTTGTCAAACTTAATAACGTCACATCTGAGCTCATCAACACTGGTCACCCATGACTAACCTTCGATCCTTATAAATTAAGAAAGGGACTACATAGGAATAGATGAAAAGTTTTTGCAGTACGTTCTACGGGGATGTTCCGCCCAAATGAGGAGCCATTTTCCCCGGTAACACTGAATATCCTGCTACAATGGAAAGCAGAACTCACGCACTCTGGTTTAGAGATAAACACAGTAACTGAACCGTGAATCAATCAACTACTCTAGTGGTCTACATAGTTTATCATCAGTCATGTTTCAAACTCCGATCTCGCTTACAACACAGGCTGCCCATTACCTTCACGAGAGCCCACGAATTCCATTAAAGAAAGTGCATGGGAATAAAAAAAATCCAAATCAGTTCTTTCAAAGATAAGAATTACGAAATGAGAAAACGTGAGTTTGTGTGGTGTCTTTGAAGGCTATTGCCTATCAAACTGACTTTATTAAAAATACTAGGAAAGATTGAAGTGATCACCCTTTAAACGCTAAAGAAAAAGAAAAAAAGAGTTGGAGTTTCATTTAAGATTGTATTAAATGGGCGAATATAAATACATGTTATCCCGGCTGAGATTTGCGACAAGAATCGAGAACAGAAAACAAATTATGCATGGAGCGTCAAAGGAAAACAATCAAACAACCAGAGATCAAACGATATACAAACGAAATTGAAATAGTAAAGCAGTTTTTGATCATGAAAATAAGTTTCTTAACGATTCTTTTTGTCGTCATTGTTTTTCGTCCTAATATTTTTCACACTTTTCTCTTCTTTTATTTACCCGTTTGTTTTGTTTTGATTTGTTCGTTTGTTTTGTTTTGATTTGTTTGTTTGTTTTGTTTTGATTTGTTCGCTAGCTTTCTTATTTGCTTCCTTAGTTGACAATAGTTACATTTGTGCTTAAGGTCTGGCTCTCCCCACTACCATTTTCCATTAACATTAGCGTGCATCATACAATGTAAAGTGTCTGGTTAGGGAGAAGTCTTGATCTCAAGGTCCAACTAAAAACGCGATGCTGGTAATGAACAGAAATAGTATAGTCCCTTGACCACCGTTCACTCCACTCCTTAATGGATCTTTACCATTTTCACAAAAAGGGTTATCGTCACCAAACATGGTCGCCTTTGATGAGCTTTGGTCAAAATTACAACTTTCCTCGTGTGCTCTGTTGAGACACTTCTTGGCATCTGCAAAAGAGCTGAAAAGTAGAAGAAATATTTCCGTTACTACAGAGGGATATCAAGAACAATCTAAAATAAATCCAGCCCGTTTCTTCCCCCAACTTAGAAATCAAATGGATGGTTGTAACCAAACCAAGAAAGAATTATCGGTGGGGTGACACGAGAATAAACAGAAAGGAGATACCTTTGAAAGGGGACAAATGCTACCGGGGTTGATCCCGGTTTCTTCACCATTTTGAAGTATTACCAATCTTCTTCTAAAAGGAACGCCTGTTCATCACAGACACTCTCTTCTCCTCACCTGCCCCCGACATCACCTTATGAAGGCTGACGAAACTCGCCAGATAATCGCTATCTTGTTGCGAGATTTCTACAAAACAAACTATTATCCACCGGAACCCAGCAGATAGTGATACAATCCCTAGACAGCGTGACTCACTTGTTGTTAGTACCCAGTTGCATAAGAACATAAATCAAATGAAATTGAAGTGTAACCATATCGATACTTCTGCGTATCATATACTCACGAGCAAACTTCTTGGGACTTTTTCTTCACCGAATTTTCATATATGCTTCTGAAAGGCTCCGCACATTTCTCAGCAGCGGTGAAAAACGCCGGCTTACAATCACCTGTCTTAACGCTTTCATGAAGTGCGGCCTTGTCCAGAGTCACTTTGCCACAAAAGAACTGCTCCACCATCAGAGTTGCTCGAAGAGTCTTCACACTGTCCTCAAAAACTTTATCATCTCGCATGGAAGAGCACTGCGTAACCAACTTCTCTCTCAAGCAATTCTTATTTTTCAAAAGGACCGTGCTATAGGTAAATATATTTAGTGAGTAACTTTTAATTGCATTCTACAAACTACAGGGGCAGGGTATTTGATCCCGGAAAGTAACACTGCTTTGCTTGCCTTAGTCAACAGTCGTGCACGTATTAGCAGAGGATTAGATTGCTAGACTGAAAAAAAAAAACTAAATGAGGGGTAAAAAAATTACTAAGCGATTAGTAATTCCTGTATAGAAAGTATACAATTACCAGATAGCTCTTTCAAAGGTCGTCTGTACCGTAATATTATACAGGTCAAAGAATATTAATGATCTGACTTTGCACCTTGTAAAGAAGATGGAGTTTTTGTATTCATGATTTTAAGTCAAACGTACATCCAAATTGGATTCTGTCATCATTTGGATTATCTAAGTACTAACCACTGCGCAATCACTGGTGTTATGGTGTGCTGCCCCTTTTTCAGTAGCAATACTTTTCCTTTACTTCATTTATCAAGGTAGTCTATGCTTTGAAATCATGATATATGAGTTTCGCAGTTCACTAGCGTAAGAGTATATCATACGTCTGGCGCTAAACTTACTATAGTACACGTTCGCCCTGGTTGTATTGTTGTAACAGGAACCTGTCCTGACGCTCTTACCTGCAATTGTTCCCCGAAGCAAAGTCTTTAAAGCTCTCTGTATCACACATCATCGCATTATCGTAAACTAAATTATTTGGGCAGAGGAGGGGGAGAGGATTACAGTCTGAAAACAGGAAAAAAAATGTTGATATAGAGAAAATGGAGACGGCATGCTCAGTTGTACGTTACCAAAGTTGGACAAGAATACCAACTTATTTGGTGATATTTTGTTATGGAAACAAGTGTGGATGACTCGCGCGAAACTTCTACCAGCAATTCTAATTTTAAAAAAAAATTTATTCATCGTTAAACAGTTTAAATGATATCGAACGAAGGATCCAAACGCCAATTATGAAACTGGTAAAGACGTGACCCCAATGCAGAAAGGAAGACACATTATTGGTATGAGCTTTTCATATAAGAGAAACTTTTTTTCTTGTTGGATGTGGTCATAGTAAACTATTGAGAGGAAGAATAAAATTTAAACGGCATAAAATGTTTACCAAACAAGGTAGTCTGTGTTGGAGGGTCCATTCCGTCGGCACAGAATGGATTATAGTCGTCTTTGGTGATGTATTGGCAGATACCTTTACACGATTCTCTTGCCCTGTTGGTGCATTTTTGTTTCCCTTCCGCATATTTACTATGTTCAAAAAAATAGGTGATGATACACAATGAGCGGCCTAGCAGTCAATTGGAAACACAATTTTACAGACTCGCTAAGGAATCAGTCAATCAGTGAATGAATTAGGCAATGAATCAATGAATCATAAGTCAATCATAAATCAATTAATCAACTAGTCAAGTCAAGTACTCAATTAATTGGTCAATCAATCAAAAGAACCAACTAACCAATTTTTTTGTAAATGAATGAATTAATATATCATTTAATCAATCATCAATCAGTCTGTCAATCAATCAATTAATCAACTAGTCATGTCAATTACTCAATTAATCAGTCAACCAATCAAAACACCAAATTGACCGGTTAATTCGTAAATGAATGATTGAATCAATGAAGAGTCAGTCAATCAATCCATAAATCCACCAATCCATTAATCAATCTTTCAAGAGTAAATAAATGGCCATACAGAAAGTAGTTAATTTTTTTTCCAGTGATGCTCACTTGTCGATGATCATAGAAATTTTTATCTGCGGTGGTAACCTACCTGCATAATAAGGAATCGTTCCTGCTTGCGTTAAAAGTAGTACGGAAATCATCCCAGCAGCCAACCATCCCTTCCAGTTTTCCTGCATCGCAATCGACTTGACCGAGGATTAAGGGGTTTATTCTTGATACCTCAAAACTCAGCTTTCCGCAGTGATAAACTAACAGTTCAAGCAGCTTCACTATCTCACCTTTAAACGCGTTTAACAGCGGAACACCATCCACGCAACTAGTGACATGACCATTCAAACAGATAGATTGCTTTTCGTATTCAAAGCTGCCAAGAAAACAAGCGTAACAAGCAAAAAACATCAAACAAAGGATTTAAATCAGTAAATGTTTTTAATTTTTGATAGTGACATGCTTTTCCAATAACATTTTCTTTTTTTTCTGATCAAGTTTTATTTTGCAGCTTCCAAATTCCATGACCATAAAGGAAATGACTTGTAGTGGTAAACACTTTGAAATTGATAATAAAAGAGAGGCCATTTTCGCTGAAGCTATAATCAAACCTCCAAACCTGCAATTCAAGCTGGCGTTGTTTTTCAAGTTTGAAATCAGAGTCCTCTGGCATTGCTGTCCTCCCTTCGTGAAAGTGGTCAGATTGCATTTCCCGATATCTTGGCCAACAGCGTGTCTAAGTAGCACTGTGGGGGAAACATTTTAGAGAACTCAGTTAAATTGGGGGGACTTAGCAGAGATCAGGGCCGAAAAAAGTACAATTCAGCAAAAGAGAAACGCGCTGGACACATCAAAAGAAAAAAAAGACTACGAAGGTCATGGCTTGGTAATAGACCTCGCTCACCGTATGATCTCGGTGGCTCTGTGACTCAAAGGAATTCCGAAGGTCTGAAGTTCGATTCCTCATGAAAACACAGAAAATTTTTTCTTTGTTCCACGCTCGAAAAAAATATTGCTCTATTTCTCCAAAAACATTTTTGATCGTGATGCTGACTAGCTAAAAAGGAGAAAGCAACCTCGTGAGCGTGAGCGTGCTTTAAGTTGCAGTTTATCACACTTTGAAATAAATTCGCACATTCCAATCGTGTCAAATAATTCTGGGATAAAGGTGTTTTGCTTTGCCTTTCCCTACTTTTGATAGTTTGTCTAACCGTTTTGCTTCAGCATGGTTATGTTTTTCTCGGTATTGTTTTTCATGTTGTTTTTGTATTTGTTTTTTGTTTTGGTTTTTTTTCGTGTGTTGCTGTTGCCTTTACTTTTTTTCTCTTACTTCTCTCTTTGTGCCTCTGTTTTTATTCGGTTCTTTTGGTTGCCAGTGTGTTTGTTAGTTTTTGTTACTCTCGCTTTTGGATTGGTCGTTGTGAAATGTTTCCACGCAAAAATTGATTTCCTAGATTTATCATGAATTTAATTGTGTATTAAGTGAGTTGTAATTTCGATATCGTTAAAGTAAAGTCAACGTTATAATTAGAAGTAGCATGTAATTGGGAGCGGCATAGGGTAATCAAATGAGTTCTGCGAGCAGTGATGTATGAAATTAGGCATTTGCAGGGCGTTTAAGCGCGTAGGAACTTAGCAGCATGATTGTCAAAAAAAACCATGTTTAAAAGGAAATTAGTGCCCACGAATCGTTGTAAAACGTGAGTGAATCTTGATATCCCACACGGAATTACGTATCTGGGTGTGGATTTCCTCAGCTAATAAATGTAACATTTTTGTAACCCTAGGATAAGATTGTAATAAAGTAGATAGATCGCAGAACGGAACGTGCAATGCTGAATTGTCGTCAATAAAGCCTGAATCAAAAGAAAGTATACAGTCCAAGATTACCGAACCAGCGCGTGTGGAATTCTCAGCAACACAAGTGGGAAATTCTGCGAAACTGGTTTAGAAATCCGCGCGTTCGAAAAGTTCTCTGACAGAAAACAACATGCGTATGAAATTTCATAAATGTGGTTTTCAGTCAATTATTCGTAAGCTAATCCTTATTCGCTCCATTTGCGGATCAATATCAGTATCTGGGCAACTGCCCACCTACCCCTCCCCTAACTCAACAATTGACAACAAGTTTAGGTTAATGTTGGGTTAGGGGAGGGGTAGGTGGGCAGTTGCCCAGATACTGATATTGATCCCCATTTGCTTTAGTCTCCTTGTTATGAACTGTTAAAATAACCCAGTCATGCATGTTTGTGTAGGCAATATAACTCATTGAAAACAATGCAGCGAAGAAGAAAGAGCAGTCGAATATGAAAATATGAATAGATTAACTTCAATTAAGCAGGGCATGCGTCAATTTAATATTAGGTAAAATTTCCGCACAGCCCCATACTATTGTTAAAAAAATCTGTTTTCCCAATATCCATGTATTGTTTTTGTCGTTGTTTTCTCTATCCAAAAACTGAATGCATAATGTGGTATGGGGCTGTGCGGAGACTTTACCTTTTTCGGTCATGTTATCCGACAAATGTAGTTGCTTCTTCTCACAATGGAAATCTTGTTGGAAAGAAACGACCGCTCCCTTGTTCTTTGTGGCATGCAAGAACTAACAATCTGCGTTTGTACAAGGACCAAAAGTCAGCGTCGTTCTAATTACCGATTTCGACAAAACTTTACATTTCTAAAGCGCAAACGAATTCGATATCCTCGATGACGACGCAATTTATTATACGTCTTCGACTGAGTCTGAAAACTTTCGATGGTAAAATTTCCGCAAAGCCCGATACTATTGTTAAACAAATCTGTTTTCCCGATAGCCATGTATTGTTTTTGTCGTTTTTTGTATCCAAGAACTGAATGCATAATGCGGATATTTTACCCTTTCACTCTCGCTTTGACCCTTGGAATGGACAAAAGGCTGCAAGAGATCTGATCGAAAGGAATCTCGATGTTTATCATACTCACCTGCTACAAATATAATGTGGATGCACATAACACCTTTGCAGCGCATGATATCATTCGATATACGACTTCAAGGGACGCAAACTATCGAGAAGTAGAGGTTTACTAAGACAGAGTAATCACGAACTGTGAAATAGAACTGACAGCACTCAATCTTCAAGTTTTGGTACGAATTATGCAAATATTGTATCCTTGCGGTAATTTAAAAAATGGAAATTTTTCATCACAATCGAGGGTAAACCAATTAGATCGAAGTCATCGTATAAACAAACTTTTTTGACGAAGACGATCTTGGGTGAGGGATGAAAATAAATCATAAAATTTGGACTATTGAGTGGGAATTATTTGACGACAATTTCAATTCTTTGCATTTTCACGACTAAGTCGCAAAGTGACCCATTATGTAATGTTAGCCTTGCATCATTGTTCTTTGGTTGAGTGAATCCATTTTTTAGCGGAGTGTTATTAAGTCAGCATGTGGTCTAGTAGCTTCAGGACATAACAAACTCCTCAGCTCATGGGAAGCACGATGATGTATTAACCGACCTTTCCTTTTAACAATCGAACAAAAAGCACATGTACATGAAAATTAGCCGACTTGAGCCTGTACTCGCTCTTTCTGCGCCACAGAGCATGAAGATGTGTCAAGTTTGGGGCCGACCATATAAATTGCGTTTAATTACTTGAAAACACAGCTGTTCTTGCCTAAAAAAAATAGCCAAAGGGGCTCTCAAGCCTTGAATATAAAGGGACGAAAGTGAACTCTTACGAGTGCTCATTCCCCCTCTGTTCTAAAACTATTTGCTTTTATCAATGTTCATCAGGATTATCGATATTGATTGTTTTTCCTGCAATTCAAATATGTAAAACGAGATGCTTACAAGTCCAGCATAAGTGATGCAGCACGACTCCACACTCCACAATGATCATGTCCCTGTTTTGCATTTTAAGCAGTTTTTCGCTTTACAATCGAATGAGCACTCATCATGGCGGCGATGGCATCTCTTAATGTAGCTACGATCAGTTTTCCAGTGATAAGTTCCTTCGCAAGGCTATGATCATATCCGAAAAAAGAGAGGTGGTCGTTTTACGACGTGATTTACGATGAAAGCAATGTTGTTGCTGCACAGGACTTGGGTTCTTACCGCAAGTTTGGCGAGTGAGTTTGTTAAACAAAGATAAACTTTATGGACACTCCATCCACATACACTGAATATGAAGAGAAAATCAACGAAAAAATCCAAATCAATGAATGTCAATGAAGTATGAGGCCGAGCCTCTTTCTTCTTAGAGAGACTAATTAGAGAAGAAGAGAAATATCATGACAAGCATCGTGCAAGTTTTTACTCATTGAAGTCGCGTGTTTCTAACGTACTCAGCATTGCCAACAACAAATCGACCTAGCAAATATAACGAACTTTCTATTTAATGATCTTGCAGTTCTGCTAGCGTGAAAATGAATGACCTGTTCACTGGACTAGATTTCACACTCAAACGAGCTCTTATTTAAAGCGAGAACTAAAATCTTTTTATTTTGTCTTCCTTTTATCTAAATAAGAAATTATTATAGTCATGCAACATATTTACTTTGCAGAATCGATTGTATAAATCGCATTGGCTGTAGCTTATCACGACTCAGTTTTCCCTGATGTGCTTGATAAGTTAGTTAATTCTGGGACAGGAAAACAGCATTCATAACAACAACAACAACAACATCAAAAACAACATTGTCTCCTTTTGAAATTACCGCCATGGGAAAAAGTCAGCTAATTCTGGATAATTAAAAATTGCCTAATGTTTTAGATGAAATTAGATATAAACCTCCCTCCTCATTGGAGACTCCTACATCGTATAAAGTAAACTAATCTGTGTTTTTCTTGTATCCTTCCCTCGACAGCTCTTCATGGCTGCGTGGCTGATCCAAAGATTGGTGACTGCAACATGACCCATTTCATAACAGGAGGATTCAGTTGTCAGAGGAAAATGGTGTCTGATTTAAAACACAAACCAAATGCCAACTGCAGGTACTAGTCGATTTTCAACCTCACGAGAAACGTTCGTACTGCACTGGCTGATTTTCTATCAGGACATCGTGAACGGCTCTTATTATTTCCTAGTGGATGATTATTTCAAAGTTTCTGCAGTCTTTTGCAGAATTAAAGCTCCTTTTCTTGGTAATTCATTTTTTGTTCAAAGTCAGCGTAAGTTTTTTATTTTTTTATTTATTTATTTTTTATGACAAGTAATATCACGCTGCTAAGCTCCGAGTCTCTCCGATAATAAGACACTAATTCGTATTAAGCTTTAAAGAAGCGACCTGACGGTTAAATTCCATTATTCTGGAGAAGAAAATACAATGCAAAAACAAAAAGACAAAAAAATCAAAACAATCATTATCATGCCAATATGAAAGGCTATTGCATTTTGAAATAAACAAAAACACCATTGGGCCAGTTCCAGAGTGCATTCTTACTCATAAAGTGTAGCGGTCTTAGTCTGGAATCTTACGTTAACCTTATTTTTCGATACCATTTAGACTTTCCGTCTTATTTTGTTTCCTTCAATCTCTTTAGTGTTGAATATCAAGATCAGACCTCATGTCTGGTTGATCATTTGAAGTCTTGCTTGACTGGTCTTTTTGCTGGTTTTGTTCCCGCCGTCACATCTTTGATAAAATTACTGTTATACCATTGTGGGGATCTTAAAGTGGATCCGGCGTTGATAGATCAGTTCCTGCTTAATCAGATCAAGTGCAAGGGTTCAGTTTTCGCGCAAACTGTGGAGTGTTGGAATGATTTTCGGGAGAGGTTGAACAGAGACAAGACAGATCCGAAGCTCTGCAGGTATAAAACTCACTTTTACCAGCTGATCTTGAACTTGAATTGCGGAGTTCTTTCAAAACAGAGATTTATCGGTGATGGTCAGCTATCTCAGGCTTGAGATTTTAAATTATATATTACAACATGTATGTACTTCCTCTTAACACGGTCAGTTGAGAAAAACTGTTTTGTGCTAGTTCAGAATGTTTTTGTTTTTCTATTACTCAGTAATTCATCTCGGAATCCGATCTTTTTATTATCTTAAACATTGGATTGTGTCCTTCCTTCCTTATATATTTAAACACGTGACACCTAGGAGTACCGAAGTTCTCGTTTAAACGTGTACGTGTATTAGAGATCCACCCAACCCAACCCAGGGGAGGACATCCATCACACAGTAATCTCGTGCGTGGGAAATTAACGTCTCCTACCCCAAACCCTGCAGGAGACGGGACCTCCGGCTTCACGTCTTACATGACAGGACGGAAAACGCGTGCACTGTAAGTACCTCCCGTTGTCCCATACAAAGCCTTAGAAAAGTTTTCTAAGGCTTTGTATAGGACAACGGGAGGTACTTACAGTGCACGCATTTTCCGTCCTGTCATGCCGAGAAGACGAAGCAAGGTGAGTGAAGCGACTTGCTTAAGGCCACAACGTAGTGCCCCATCCAGGACTTGAACCCGGGCCGTCCAACCCAGAGTCCAGCGCTCTGACCACTGGGCCACTCACGCCTCACGTGTCCGTCTTGGAAAATCTTGCCGCAGTCAAATATTATACAAAAAAAACAATAAAATAAAATAAACGTGTAGATGGGGAATAAAGCCTTTCACTTCCATAGAAGGCTTGCCACCCGATAAAATGAGTTGCCATTTGCTTCCATTTGTATCTTCACAGCGACTACGCTGTTGCAAAGGAATGCGTGACAAGAGAGGCAAAGACTGGTTGTGCAATCGGACAGTACGTTAATAGGGACTTGTTTAACCCTTTCTGCACATACAACACAGATCCACCGTTGAACAGTTCTGGTAAGATAGGCATGATTTGCTCCACTTGAACACTATGCTTTAACAGTCATCACAGTGACTACGTGGGTAGCGACTCATCATCATCACTTTCAGTTTTGGCCAGGAATCCACTGGCCAAAAAGCTGATCAACACGGTATAAGCATTATCGATGACTTGAGTTAATTTAAAACTTTATCTTTAGCTAATCTGGAAATTTTGCTCATTTTGTGGTCCATATCCTTTCTATTTTTGTGTAATATTCGTATCAACTATGTGGTATTGCTTTATTAAACATTATTTTTTTACCATTTGCAGAACCATCAATCTATATTGGAAGTTGCACCACCCAGACGTTCGCTACGTCGGCATATTCATGTCAACGCAAGATGATTACAAACCTGGCGAAGAAAAATAGCCCGACTTGCCGGTAACCCACATACCTTAATAAAAAAAAAAGGGCAAAAATGATATGTTGTATTAATTTGTTCTGTTTCCGCTGTTCTATCTCAATAATGATAATAATAATGATAATAATAATAATGATAATAATAATAATGATAATAATAATAATAATGATGATAATAATAATAATGATAATAATAATAATTATAATTATAATAATAATAATAATTGTTATTATTATTATTATTATTATTATTATAATCATAATATTATTAATAATAATAATTTAAAGAAAACACCGCCTTCAATCAGTTTTGCTACCTGGGGCAAACTAGGATGGTCACTTCAATAACCATTTCTTAGAAATGAGTTTTATAAAGGTGGCTCCCACTTGGGGGGAATATTTTGATAGCTTTTACAGTAATTGTAAAATGCAGTTTGTGTCATATATAGAAAAGTTCAGGACCGTTTAGAGAAGCTTTTTGGAATATTCTCCTCTCAAACTTGATTTCTCCTTTCTGTATACAGGCAGGAGTATAATCACCTAAAGCTTTGTTTGTCGGCGACTACGGATAGTTGTTTAACAAATACAGCGCTCTCTCCATTCAAAGACGAAGTTCAACGACTTGTACGAACACTTTTATATCACTGTGGAGATCTCAGAGGGAATGAGCTATCTATAAGCCCTTTCCTGTTGGAGGCATTGAACTGTAACAAGAGTATGTTTGAGACTTCGGTGGGATGCTGGGATCAGTTTCGTCTCCGATTGATCTTAAACAATGAAGACAGGCAACTTTGTGTGTAAGTAAAATTTCTCGTTCTGTATAACTTACTAATGAACAATGTAATCGTTTTTATGAATGCTCTAATGTTACGTCAATCAGTCTTTCTGAAAGAGGAGGGAGTGGGGGTGGGGAGGAGAAGCGATGACGGAGTTGAATTATTTGGGAGAAGGATAAAGTCCACACAGATTATTCTTCTGACAACGTTTCACTTTAATGACTTTCATTAACGTTTGATGACAGTAACTTTCGTTTTGATAGTATTTAGTTCAATTTCTACAGAGATTACGCTAGGTCTAAGCAATGTATCTCGATGGCTGTACAAAATGGTTGTGCCATTGGAGATCTCATGGAAGACGACCTTTACAACCCATTTTGCGTGGATGGCATCGATCCACTTGCCCTTCCATCTGCCTCAGGTGAGTTGGATTGGCTCAATGGGAAACTTTAAAATGCAAATTTTTTCCTCCGCAAGGGTCCTGCATTCCGAACACCACTATTCTATTATCAGCTTGTTGGCATTCATCAGCGTCACTACTATTGCCATCATCATTATCATTACTATCATTTTTCATCATAAAAGTTGTCAAAAAAATATCAAAAATAAAAATATTTATCATGGTCATCATGTAATTTAACATAATACTTGGCATTGATGTCTTGATTAATGCATGTTTTGCTTTCTTGCAGCTCTTATATCTGGACGGTTTACATTTGTGTGCGGAAACGATTTCTTTTACAGAAAGGGAATTGAATGTGAAGACCATTTCCTCGCAGCCATCTATTCCGCAGAAGGAGATACCAATTGTGGGTAAGCATTAAAAAGAAATAACTACATAATTTTGATTTTAGATCATGTAATCGCGAGTCCCAGTTTGGTAGTTCAAATGTTTTTCTATCTACAAGGAATTAAAATGAAGTAAGTTCCTTTGCATTTTTCTGGGAATCAAAATCCCAGCCATAAAACTTTGAGCGTACAAAATATTTCTATAAATCACAACTTGAAATGTTTTGCGATTTTTTGGTGGCCTTGATTTTGGATAATCGAACCCAAGTTATTTTACAATTCCTTCGCCTTATTAGCTTTAAAGAAATAAATTACCTTTACTCGACTCGTGCTGAAACATTCACTGATGGGTGGCAGTATCTCTAAAAAATATATACGGACGTTTTCAAATATCTGTGTGAAGTGGTGTACCTAGCAAGGTGTACTTGACTCTATTGTCATTACATAATGTTTATCATTTCAGACGTCAATCTGAGTCATTCTTGCGCTGTTTAAAAGAGAATTTTGAACCTTGCATCGGACCATCTCCGAATTCCATTCTATTGGAATCGCTTAGCATCGTAGTTCTCCAAAGCTTACAAGGAACACAACTACTTTGTGACTCGTCTGTGTATCAAATTGCTTGGGATGATCTTCCACCTCTTCTACGAAAAGTAGCAACTTGTGACAATGATTATTCAGCTGTTGTCGCTGATTGTGGTAGAACGTTCCGTTCCAAGTTTATTCCCGTTCCTTCGCCCCTGTGTGAAGAATTCGAGAATGGAAAATCTTGCATCGATGAGGCAAGGCAAACACATTGCTCCTTTGATGTTCAAACCCTGCGAACTCTCAAGGGTAATATAAATCCATTCTGTGACAACAGAACTCGACCTTTATTTAGAGACGTCGGCAGTTGTCAAAGTATAAACCAGAAACTGGCTTTTGCCGTGCTTATTTTTAGTGTCATGAGCTGTGTTTCTTGCAGGTAGCTCTCCACATATACAGATAGCTCATATATGTTAGACCTGCAATAATCATTGACATCTGGTCTAACTTTTGGTGATGTAAATAGAGACGCATTCTTTTTGTATAGATATCGCTACCGTGAATACTGAGAGAAACAACTTTAAATAAAGAAGGAGCTCGAGGGATGATCATTTTCAGTTTTTTAAACAAATCTCATCTCAACTGCATCATTTCCTCTCAACTGCGTATGAATTTTGTTCATCTTCTGGTAAATAACAGGTCCTTCTTACCTTATAATCCCTGCGGTAAATGAATGAATTTAAAGAACTGTAGATATATTCACGCCCGTTTTAGACCAGGTAACCGTTTTGGACTTCTACTTTTCCAAATCAGAGCCAAGCTAAGTTAACCACTAACTGCATCTATTACCTCAGCAGTCTTCTGGCCTTTAATTTTCATTGGGAAAACAAATGTTGAAGGAATCAAGATTTTTGCCCTGGGCATTTACTCGAAATATATTGATTCACAAAGCGATGAGATTTAAGACTCCTGAGGAAGATTTAGCAGAAAAATGCCCTGGTTATGTCGTTCCATTCATATCATATCGCAGAAAAGTACGTTATGTATGACAGCGGCAAGTGAGGTTTTTGCCACCAAATATGACTTCGCAGTAAGCAACAATAAACGTCATCGTCACAACATTGTACAACGTAAACTGTTGCGGTAAACTTAGCGAAAAATGCTTTCTTTGAATATGATTAGGAGTTCTATCACGGTCTTATAGCGAATTTCGGCTATTAAATGACTGTGCACTGTCTTCGCTTGTTTTCGGTCAGTTAATGGTTAAGTTAATTACTACAAATCAAAGTCCTTGTGTGATATCGTAAACGGAAGGGGTCTAGATCGAGATTTGCTCCTAAAATAGAAATAAGCATGCCAAATTTTACAAAACTTTATACATGCCCGGGGAGTTGTTACGCTGTTTATTAAAAGATGAAAGCCAGCCAACTGTGTTTTAACCAATGAATCTTATTTGTTAATCCCCCCCCCTACATGGAGTAACCATACCAATGTATTGTTTCATACTTTATTTAATTGATGATTTTAAAACATTCCATTTAGGGAGTGATCTAGAAAATACCTCAACTGCTTTACACAAGAGCGCTGGTTAAAAATTTATCATCTACCTTACCATTTCGAAGAAGTTTCGGTGAAGAAACTGTTAAAGGCAGAGTCAATGCTTTTAAGTTGGCGATAGACAGATAAAATTGTGTTTGAAACTTCCAAAATCAAGCAAGTATGCAAACTTTAACATTTCTTTATGGAGCGAAGGTGAGTTTTCTGTTTTCAAAGTGCGCGAATTGAAGTTTCGCCGGATTAAATAAAGAAAAATATGAAATAAGCTTTCGTTGGACTTTTCAAACTTTTATTTCATATTCAGCTACTCGTCAGATTAAGTTGTGCGTCAGGTAAATAACCACAATGACCTTCGGTATTTCATTTTTAGGAAGTGGCTCTTTTCATTTCCCTCAGATCAATGATAGTGATCATGAATGCTGCCATCAATAACGCAGGTTTGTCTACGATTTCTTGTAAATGCGCTATATCCATGAAACATACTTATCTCTTTTTTCCTCCATGTTTTTGTTATTAATGTTGAAACTTATATTAAATCCGTAGAATAATCTTTACAGAAAGTACTATGTTAACCTTGGCTGTTTGTATTGGTATCTGGGGCTTCACTTCCACTTAGTGTTTGTTTAGTTTTCATACGCACCTTGTCTTAATTTGCATAGGATTACTTCAATTTTCCATGATCATTATTAAAACGACGAAAAGTTCGGCACTAATATTCGCACCTCCTTTGCGGACCAAATTTATTTTCGAAAAGTTTCCAAATTTTCAGTGAGTTCTCTTTTGATCGTCATATCTCCAAAATTATTTCACATGTTTTGATAATTCTTGTACCGGTTTACTTGTAATTAAATTTTAATTCTAAAAAACAAACATGTGATTTCAAAGAACGTCATTATGATGTCATAAGACTGGTTAATATTTAACCAGAAACAAAACCTTGACTAATTCTCCTATTTTGCCATAAAAATAAATGAAAAGTGATAAGCTTGAAAAATTGATTTTATGGCCAATTCCTTTCTACAGCTCCTGACTATTCATTTGATACCAAATACACTAAGAATATACATATATAGAGAAATAAAACTTGCACTTTTTCCGAACAGGGTCATCGTCTAAAAAAATCTGAAAAAAGAGGTAAAGCAATACAAGAGCTGAAATTTTTTTCTGTCATGTGTTTTTTAATCTATACTTTCAATTAACATTAAAATGATCAAATGCACAAAATCTCACTGATTGGAAGTATCCCTGTCCTTTTGTTAATTTTGCTGGTGATAAATTTGAAAGCATGGGGCAGCAAATAATCCCACATCACAATCAGGACAATAAAAATTAGTTTTCCTCTTTGTTATGTTGGTTGTGCATACTATGCACCTCCTTTCAAATCTCTTCCCACTTTCGTTGCAAGGAAGATAAGAAGGAAGATATCGTTCCACAAATCTGGCCTGAGGCTATTCAAGAGATGCTCTACCCCTCTTCTGACGAGCTGAAAAACTGCCAATCAGATCTTTCACCGAATTTAATCGAAAGCTATTTAGTTCTTTCTTCCCATGGTTTGGCAATTCATTATGGAGAAGAAGGCTATTTTAGATAGCCCTGTCTGTGAGGTCAAATGACAGCCTCGTCCACCACATCTTCTAGAGATAGAAAGTTGTTAATATGACTTCATCTGATCATTTTTGCTGACCCGACCAATATACTTGTTGTACATAAATACTATGGGTGGGTATGTCACTGCCTGCAAGTTTCCATCCTTAGCCCTCCTTTGTACTTCTGAGAGATAAGCATGAGGAGTATGTAGAATGGAGCCTTTCATTCTTCACAACACACTAACCCGAGGCAAATTCTTTATTGTGTTCTTGTGGAATCGTACACAGGGAAATTCCTTTCTGTTCTGTCAGACGGCTCCACAACAGAGTGCTTTTTAACTGTACAGGTTTTCCATAAGTTTTCAAGAAGTAAAGAAATTGTAAAAAAAGACAATACCATTTACTCGTCATGTGTTCCTAAAGATTCCACTCAACAGTGTAGCCCAAGCCATGCTAAACTCTACCAGGCTGTTTACCTGTATAAACATGAAAGTCACACAAATATCGATTTATGCTGTCTACTCGACACCATAACTTGATGCCTCTTTTGATAAGCTTCAATGACAGGTATTGCTTCAAAGAAGTTGTCCTTTTCTACTTCATCATAGCCTTATCAACAGCTTGCTGTCGATGAGGTTTCTATTACATTGACCCAGCAGCTGGCATTTTTGAGTTTTCATCGACATGCATGTTGTAAAGCAAATCAAGAAATCTTGTTCGGGTCATTAGCTTTTTGAATGCAGGCATGCCAAGAATCCAATCTTCACTCCTCAAATCTTTCAATGAAGGTAGAGAGTGGAAATTCATTGCAATAAAAGGCCCTAAGAATACTTTTACTCCTGTCAAATCAACCCGTCTTCAAAGTGATGAGCCTTTCCCAGACTCTTCCAGCTTTTGTTTCACATATTATTTTGTTTGTTTCACGAATGATTTTGTTTAGCATCGTAATGCATTAGGACAGCGGTAGTTCGCAAATGTATCCGGGAACTTAAAGTATGTGCGAACTTAAGCGTATGCCTTTTGGCGTGCACTTGCTTCACCACAATACAAGCATCCTGTTATCCACTAGCAAGGAGAAAATTCTTTTGCTGTAGCCTTAGTAGGGCCGACATGACTTCTCGAAATTCAGGAATATCGAACTAACTCCTCTCATCACTCCACTCAAACGTGCCAGAAGGCCACGCTCTCTCCCTTCTTCCGCAGAATCTCCGTTGTTTTCATCAGAGTCATCGTCTTCATCTTCACTGTTGTATTCAGGAAACCGTGGCAAATCATCTTCATCCTCTTCCTTTGGAATTGAATCTAAGGACTCTGCCGCGTCAGAAAGATCATCTTCGAAGTCTTCGATGTCCGATCTGGCTCCGTCACAAGGAATATCAAAGATTCCCTCGAAATGGTCGATCAAATTTTGAGTAGCTTACATTATTCTCCTTGATGACATGTTGTAAAAATGTCACTGAAGATCAAAACCCAGCAAATATTGGTAATATTTGGTAATAATGAAAGAATCACGAAAATGCTCGCAAATGAAAGCTACAGGCGTTGTTAACAAAAAATAACCGTAGAGGCCTGGTAACATTTATTTAGGATAGCCGCTGAGATAAAAACTGCAGTCACGTAAGATATACGATATATCGGACATTGGTCAACAAAGGGTTAAAAACTTGGCGGTTTGAGGAAGGTAGAGAAAACTCGGAAAAAATAAAATGATGATGACAAACAAAGACCAAATTCTCAGCGAAGGATTTTAATAATAATAGTAATGGTAATAAAAATGATAATAGCACCAGTGATAGTGATAGTAATAATGATACTAATGTTGATAACAATGACAATGTCAATTTTGATAATGACGATAAAATCAAAGCAACTACTACCAGAGATAATAAAAAAGATAATAATATCAAGAACAACAATAACAGAAACGACGGCATTAGCGTAAATATTATTTGCAAATTGACTAAGGCCAGGCTTAAAATTGGCAAACTTTCTCACTCCATACCTGCGCAGGACTCTTTTTGCATTAGTGAAAATGGCTCAACAAGTCCCCGAGATCTCTAAAGCTGAGTTATTCAGGTATACACATATAAGACGGCTAAATCGGAACAGATCTAACTTGGAGTCTGTTTCTTTTCTTACTCTGGAGACATATTCTGAAATTGTCTTTTTTAAAAGAAGCTTTAGTTGAACTGGGTCATTTTAAATTACTTTTCCTCAGATTCTGATGATGTCCCAGATGAATGTACATCGTACAACGTTTTCAATGAGCCGGGCAGATATTGGAGCAGTACTGGACATTCTATGATATGCGATAATAATCTTGCCAGTGATCATGACGGTTGGTACCGCTTCGAGGGTGCTGCTGGAATAATGATGGCTACTCATTGTATTCCAATACAAAGTTGCAATAGCCACATGGCGGGTTGGATCGGTGGTGGCGATCACCCCTCCTCAGCTTACCAGAAGGTGACGAGAACAGCGTATATGCATTACGGCTCAAGTTGTGAAAATGTGGCTTACCCCGGGACGGAAATACGTAACTGTAGTGGATTCTACGTTTACAAACTGCAATCAGTTAACGGCTGTCACCAGCGGTATTGTGGTGTTAATGGTAAGTGTCACATCAAGAACATCAGGTTTTTTTTTTAAAGAGCTGCACTGCATTGAGCAGCTTTTCTGTAAATATTGTTCACCAGCCTTGTCTCGTTGCTGGAGGTCGCCTGTGGTGTAGATCGCTACTTTTTCGGCCACCCCGTTTTCAATGTTGTTACATACTTTGGAGCGGGGCGGAAGGGGTGGGGGAAAAATAATGAACAAAGTTCGAGAAAGAAAAATGGTTCGATGGGAAATTAAAAGTCATCTAATTAAAAAGGTCACATCGACGCAAGAGGTACGGACCCAAAGATCCAGTGATATGGTAGATTTTTCTTTATAAAGAATTATAAAATGTTCCACTTTATGCAGTTTCAATTGGTTCTTGCGCAAATTGATGAATAAGTGCGAAGCATAAACAACCTTAGTGTCCCAAGCCTTTTTATAGAATTTCTTCCAATAATATTAACATAGGACTATCAATATTAAAAGAAAATCTAGACATATTTTGTTGTGGTAAGAGTTGAAAAAACCTTGATCAATATTGATTTGGTATGAAAAAATGAAGCACTTCTAATGTTTGTGGGTACACGTGAGCGCTGTAGTGTCTGGTTTACTCATGATTAGTTGGGCATTAAGCCATTAAGTCATTTCTTAGTCAGAATGATTTCGTCTTCAACAGATGAGAACGATGCATGTCATGCCAATCCTGGCTCAACTGCATGTACCTGTCCATCTGGTTATTCAGGCACTCCTTGTCAAGGTATGTGTGTAAAATTAATTGATGGTAATCACTTACACTCCTTCTTAGAACCTTAGTGTAGAGCCTTATCGTTCAGAAAAAAATAGAAAAGGTGTTTTTCTCCCTCTCATTTGCTAGTTTGTTTTTTGTTTTCGTTCTCAGTGCAAATTTGAGTAAAACTTCTTATTTTAGATTTTTAAGTCAATCCTAGTGAAACGAGAAGTTTGATCTTTAATGACGATAAAGGACAAGAGGCAATGGCCATTGTGATTGATTTCTTCCCCGATTAAGGTTGTGTTCGATACCGATTATATCCCTATTTTTTCCAACCTGTGGATTATATGAGTTAAAAAGATTATTGAATTCCCGCCGTTAAGAATTCACATAATTTCCCCACCAGTTTTTTTAACTATTCACTTTTGCCAGCTCATGGTAAGGACAAACTTTTAATTGGTTGGTTGTATTTTCCTTGTCATTAGATACCAATGAATGTACCTCAGGAGGCCATAATTGTCACTCACAAGCCATATGTTCCAATACTCCTGGCACATTTACATGCTCTTGTAAAGCTGGTTTTACTGGCGACGGTGTATCTTGTAGCGGTTAGTGTTTGGGCATCTCTTACATCTTTTAAGGTTCTTTAGAGAATCAAGCTTAAAATGGTAGTGAGGTCTCCCCACATGCACATTCATCAACAATTCATATTTGGACAGGAAATAAGTTAAAATTGAAAGCTTGAAAAAGGTGATGGCAATCACTGGTGTTACAGCCACACATGTCGAGAAATCCAAGAATTTTGGTAGATTAAGCTGATTAAATGAACGGTGCAAGATGCTGAAAAAAAGGAAACTAGGAGATATCGTGAAAAAAAGGAAACTAGGAGACTTCTCTCATATGGGAGATCAGGGATTGATTGCCTGTAGCCAAAAGCGAGTTCTTCGGCCGGTAGATGGGAAAGATTGTTCGAAGATTGTTAATAATACTCAACCAAAACGAACGGGTGGAACTAAAAATAGCAGGACTACATTAAGATTGGTTGTTTGCTTATTTGCTGAATCACTCAGAGCTGTCAATTCGTGCGTAAATAACAATTGATAGCTAATAAATGGTCCACTTATGCTTGAGAGTGAAAAAATAGTTTTGGGGTACGTTATTATTCCACTCTATTCATCAAATTTCTTCTTTTAATGCAGAGTGAGTGGTAGGCTGTAAACTGTTTATTAAAGCCATCATCATTCCATCGAATAGATATTGATAAGAGAGGTATTAGCAATATAAACTTACATAACCCTTGTTCTCATTATCTAAGATATCGACGAATGCACTAATGGTGCCCATGACTGTCACCAAGATGCTGATTGTCAAAACACAGAGGGTGTATTTACTTGTAGTTGTAAACATGGATTCACAGGAGATGGACGTCAATGCACAGGTGATAAATTCATAACTTTTATTCTCTCTCCCAATATAGGGCACTTGCATATATTTTGATCTTTAATGACTGAAAGGGAAAAAAAAACCAAATCAGCAATTTCTCCAGTTGGAGGCCGTTGGCAACAGTGTATTTTGCAGTTACTTAAAGGTTTTGAAAACGTTAAAAGGTCGATAGATGACCTCTTAGTAGCAAATCTTGATCCTAGATCTCAAAAATCTCTGAAAATGTTGATTCTTTCCTTCGATTGCCACACAGAAAGTCAGAGTTACACAAGTGTTATAGTTTGTGTGCACGGGCTGATTATATCTCCTTGCCGGTAGATGTTGATGAATGCACAGATGCCTCGCATAACTGTCATGCGAAAGCGGATTGTTCTAACACTCAAGGCTCTTTCGGCTGTGCTTGCATTCAAGGATATTCAGGAAATGGTGTTACATGTACAGGTATGATAGCATAAGAAAATTATTCTTTAACTATTACGGTCCGCCATTTATGCGCAACTAGTTTATTTGCCTGTAACGCAGTATATTGACTTTTTTCCTCAATTAATCTGAACCTTAAGCAGACTACACTGGCGACGTCAACAAGGAAATGGGAAACAATCAAATTAATTGGGTGGAACAATGGTTCACCTCGTGCTTTTACAACTTTGTAAACTTGTTAGCCGTTCTTTGAAAAACAACACCGTGAAATCAACCAAATTTTCGAAGGGAAACCCCCGACCAAAAGTTATCTAAGTTTCCACTTGAGAATCAATGTTGCTCTTACTTGTTTTGGTGAAGTTGAAGAGTGCCGCCTTACGAGACACATAATTCTAACAAAGCATATACATTTATTTTTCAATCGTCTTACTCGGTATTGCTGTCCAGATTGCTTAAGATACCCATTGATTAAGGGGAAACATGTGCCTACTGATCGCTTTATGTGTCCCGCTTTCCTCTCTCCAACCCGGAAACATGAAAATCACTGGAATATGTCTCTTTATAACTTCAGATATCGATGAATGCACCAGCAGCATTGATGACTGCCACAAAGACGCAGAATGTTCCAACACCGATGGTGCGTTTACTTGTAGTTGCAAAGGAGGATTTTCAGGAGATGGTCGACAGTGCGCAGGTGCGGTATCCTCGTATTTTCTTTCCATTTTCATCATCTTTTCTTTTCGTATTCTTCTTTTTTTAATCACTATCGTAGTAAACATTGTAGCAACAATATCATCGTTATAGTCTCGCTACGCACTAGACAATGCACAGGTGTGAAATCCTTAGATTTTATATCCATTTTTGTACTTGTTTTTTATTACACTTTTCCTTTTTTATCATTTTCGTTTTAAGACACTGTAGCAGCATTATCATCGCGTAAATTTCGCCCAGCCCCAACTGATATTAAATACCTGGATATCACCCCGATTTACATTGTATTTGGCGTATAGAGGGGAAAAAATCAGCAAAAACGAAATAAAACAAAACAGGACCACATTTTATTTGATAGGTATACTTAATTATACTTTGTCCATGTTAACTAAAAATTCCCAAATAACCAAATGTACTAAGCAGGCATTGCAGGTATCGTTTCTCTTTTGAATGTCAAATTTTGTGTAACGAGGTAATGCTGTGTCTGATTGCTTCAGATATTGATGAATGCACAGATGCAACTCACAACTGCCATTCAAATGCGGATTGTTCTAACACTTATGGCGGGTTCAACTGTACTTGTTTTCAAGGATATTCAGGAGATGGTGTTACATGTACTGGTATGAAAGTTGTTATAAATATTATCAATCTACAGCCATACAGCCATACACAGTGTACCTTAATATTTTTGATCGAGATCTCTGGATACTGAAAGTCTTTGCGGTCTAGAAGCTGCAGTTAATGCCTACAATTACCGAATGATCTGCAGAACAAGCGGAATAGTAAGCTATATGAAAGAAACAACATACAAACAAACAAACAAAATACGAGGAGCGAAGAAAAACAAACATGAAAAAAAAATTTACCGTTTCCATCGGCATAATTTATAAGCAAGTTTTCCTTCTACCTTGCCCACGATGCTGTATGGTTTGTTGTTATGAATTAGAACTTTGAACTAAACGATACAATCTCACAGATATTGATGAGTGTGCCACAGCAACTCACAACTGTCATGGTGTTGCTCACTGTTACAATAATGATGGATCATTCACCTGTGAGTGTAGGACTGACTACCAAGGAGACGGTATTTCTTGTGAGCCCTTTGGTAAGTGAGCTAGTTCTTCGTTTGATCACCATAAACTACAATTGATAATAACCCCCCACAAAAACTTATGATATATATAATATATACTTTAGTTCATGCTACACAGTTTATCTCTTTTTCTCCTGATTGATTCATAAGAATACGTTTAACCCGTCCATTGGATCTTGTTTTACAGGAGATTTCTCTGTAACGATTAGAAATATATCCAAGGACAAATATTTGGCAACTACTGTCAAGCGGTCTGAAAAAAGTATCCATCAGGCAATCATCGAAGATCTTCCAGATAAACCTGTGTTGGAAAGTGTCATGGAATGGCGTTTAATTAGTGAACAGGAGCTGGTAGCTTCTGAATCACCAGTGGGAACTTTAGTCAGTCAAGGAACTGCACAGTGGACCATAAATAGGCGATCCGTTCCTTCTGGAAACTATCAAGTAAAATTTACTGCGTCTATTAAATTCGGTGATTCAGTATCCTCAGAAACTCTCAAGGCTTTTGATTACGGCTTTATCAAAGTTATTTCAGCTCCTTTGCGAGCCATAATCGATGGAGGAAGTAGCGTTCTTTGGGGTTCTAAAGACACTGTTACAGTGGATGGATCCCTTAGCTATGATGGAGATATTGGTCCTGGAAACTACAGTGGGCTGAAATTTACCTGGTCCTGTTATCTTCTTGGAGCTAATACTTCTTTCAACGACAATTGCTTTGGTTCTTTCAAGGGAGACGTAACTCTAACATCCATAGGCATTATCCCTGATGTGCTTTATCTTAGAAAAAAATACGTTCTCAGACTAACAGTGTCCAAGGATGATCGAAGTCATTTTGCCGAAATTATTTTTGAGATAGCAGCTGGTGAGATACCTCAAGTTAGCTTAAGGTACTTTAAAAGGATTGTTTTATTCAATTCTTCCTCTCTTTCAGTCATCCTCTACACACAATCATTCTGTTTTGGTGAAACATTACAAAGTGGTGATTGCAGTGGCTTTGTTCTACCTTCAACCAATCACACGCAAAGCTGAGGCTTTTCTCGACTTGGCCTCAAGCAATGTTGAGTGGGTCAGGAATGTGACCCGTCTTTCATATCGTTGTTGTTGTTATTATTGTTGTCTTTTCCTCAGATCAATGCAAAATGAATTATAACAATCAATCTATTTTAATTCTCTTATTTTCATGCAGGTGTTTTGTGGATTGTGGTAAAATAGTCTCTGCTTCGAATAAGTTTCGAGTAACATCAGAGTGTCTCAATTCCCCCTGTATTGGTTCAGAGTATCTATGGCAATTAATGAGATTCAATAATGATTCAAATCAACTGGAACTCATAAATATTCTACCCAATATGACATCGACTGCTATAAATGCAACCAACATGATTATCAAAAAGAATTCCTTGCAGTCAAGCTCGAAATACACTCTGAACTTAACTGTGATACCCCCCGGTGGAACAGCTGGATTTGCAGTGCTCGAGTTTGAGACAGCTGGGCAGCCCCACAGTGGCTACTGCGTGCCATCAGCCGTTGTAGGTTTCTCTTTGGAAACAAAATTTTCATTTGAATGCTTTGAATGGCAAGATAAAAGTACACCACTATCTTACGAATTTCGTGTTGGGGACGAGCCAATATCCTATGGCACCTCTGCAAAATCTGTTTCGACAGTCTTGCCCTCTGGATTACCGGAAAACGATTATCAGCTGTCAATCAACATTATTATCAAGAATGCTGTTGGTGTGGCCCTTGTGGAGAAGCTCTCTGTGAAGGTAATGATAAAAACTGTATGCCTCTGACGGTTTCTCTAAAAGGACTATGGAATCTATCCAGTGTCACATGAGCACAACTATGATTGATGCGTAGAGTTGAATAGCGTACAAAGTCCTGAGGGATTGTTGCACCCTCCGCACCCAAGTATTAAGAAAACACAGACGTAGACTAAACGGGAAAAGTTTCACCACTCCAAAATTAAAGAAGGAAAAGAAGAATCGAAGCAAAACAATCAAGAAACGAGTAGTTTGCTGATTTAATAATTTTAGTGACCACTTTTGTTTCAAGTACAAGTGAATTTGAGCAATATGAGATTGCTTTAGTAGTCGAAAGGCGCAAAATACTTTTATAAAAAGTAAACTTTCATCCGCCACCTATTAAAGCTTTCAAACATTTGTTCTGTTTTCCACAAGGTGGTGCCATCATCCCAACTCGATCCTTGCCGTTCATCGGTAGAAGAAGTGTCTAACAAATTGAAAGGTTTCGTCATTGGGGACGACAGCGACTTGGATAAATTTCTAAAGAAGGGTGAAATTAGTCAAGCCTCTCAACTTGCTATCACTGTTCTCAAATCAGCCAGCGAAGAAACAGAGTGTGGGCAGACGCTCAGCAAAGATACCAAAACACTAGTGGGTCCACTTACTGTAATGTTTTTTTTTATAAGCAGTGGAGAGCTGTGTGTTTGTTTGTTTGATTGATCATTTGTTTGCTTCTTACGCCATCGACAAGAGATTATCTAATACATGTATGTAAAAATTCGTTGTTGTATACCTGATATTAATCTGAGGTAACAATTTCAAAATTTTTTACTCCTTTTAAGCTTTTTTTAGCTCCCAAAAACTTTAGATATTTCATTTACTGGCGTAGATTTCAAGTACGTTAGTGGAAAAGTTTACCTCCATAAGGCCGGAGGACCTTCAGATGTCCCGAACTGTTATGGGTGTAGTCAAACTAGCAGGTGGTAACCAAGATGCTCAATCTTGCAATGACTGTGGAAATTCTGCGGTAAGAATCTAGCCTTCTCTTCTCTTACACAAGAACAGCAAAGTATTACAAAATACATGTACATTGTTTTGATCGTAATCAAATGCCTTTCTTTAGAATGAAACTATGAAACTAACGGATGCCACAACAGAACTACTTAAGTCTGTCCTTGGTGACTTAGAGGAGCCATTTTCTGATGAACTGGAAGAATCGGCTGTCAGTATCACCACGTGTCTAAAAAACGTTCTAAAGTCTTCCCCTGAATCAAGCAAAGAAAGTGGAGATTTAAGAAAGAGCACTGAATCTGAGAAGGTATGACAAAATTTGATTCACGAAATTAAGTAAACGAGAGTAACTCATATTATGTTATCCTGTACATATCAAGGAGTTTCACTGAAACGACATCTTGCGTAACTTAACTGCTCCAATTGTTTGCACGGAGATGAGGGTGTTTCTATCAAGATGAAATTTTCTGACCAAATTAAAATATGTGAGCACTAAAAATTAGCTACCACAGACAGAATCAAACAAATAACGCTTGCAAATTCCTAGTCAAGAAATTGATTATCGCTCGGAAATTACATTTAGTACAAAATTTTAACAGAAACTCTTTTTTACCACAGGAGAGTGTGAAGCAAGCTGCTAAAAAACTGGACGCTATGAACGACGCATTTTTCGCACGCCTGGTTCCCTCTGAAAATCTTGTCCTAAAAACGCCTGGCTTGACATCGACCCTTAAGAAGGTATCTGCTGACGGTATAAAGGGTCTTAATATGGAAGATGGACCAACAAAATTTAGACTACCAGGAAACCTAGGGAATATGGCTGATGGAAACATCAATGCAAAGGTATGGAGTTTTAAAGCGTAGATATACAACAAACCTGGCATTTTCAAAATTGAATGTCATTAGCAACTATCTGTCAACGCTTTTGACGTTTAGCGTTGCATCAAAAGTTTGAACCTTTTATTTAAAATTACTCTCCTTACGTCACTTATTGCTGCGAAATTGTATTCGATCCAATTGCTTTGATGACTAAGCGTTCCGAAACAATTTTTTTGTGTTTCTCAGTTGCAATGATGGCTTACACATTCTTTACTGCAGTATTGTAGAAAAGTCATACACACAAACTTCGAAATGTTTCTCCAAATATATTTTATTTTCAAAGAATACGTGCTGGGTATATCACAGCAGGACACTGATTCTCAAAGTGTGAAACTAGAGGCTTGATCAACTGAATTGGCCACCTCAGATAGTTTCTAAACCTGACTTTTCGAGCGTCAGCCCTTCGTAAGAGCGAATAGTCTCGTTAGTAAATTATGCCTTTTAGTTGAAAAAGTATATCCTCTGTGTTCTGTTTTTGCAGATGAAAAGTGCTGACTTTAATCCCTTCTCTTGGGACAATAGCAGCAAGAAAGTCCAGTCCAGTGTCATTAGCCTCGAGCTTCAAACGGAAAATGCAACAAAACTGAATGTTTCAAACCTCGATAGTAACATTGAGATAGTTATACCTATTTCCACCCCACCTTCAAATACCAGCAACGGATCAGAGCATTATTTTCTAAAGCCAAACCAATTGACTATGAGGAGCTATTACGCCGACCTAGCAGATGTACCTGTTTCCATCAGCCTGGGTGTGGCAAAAGAGGAAACATTAGTTAAAATGTTTGTGAAATTTGGGTCAAGACCTTCCACAGAGGACTCTGACCTCAACTTTACGCTAAAGCTCACGTCAAAGTGCGGAAATGTGACAAAGAGCGCGGCCAACGAAACTTCGTGTATTCCAGAAGAGAGAATCGTTACCATACTTCCTATCGAACCAAGTCACATTTATATAGGTTTATTATATGAAGAATCGAAAAATGTAAGCGAGCATTCCAGAGAGACACGGTCATGCTTTGGCCATAGTCGCCAGAGACGATCATGCGTTGGCGTCAAAGATCCACCTCCGAAAGGGATCCTTCAGACGATTGTACCTCAATATAACCCACAAACTGATGTCAACTATACGTTTACTATAACCCAATCAAGTTGTTTGTATTGGTCTGAAGATGAGGAAAAGTGGACATCCGATGGTTGCAGAGTAAGTTTCAATAAAATCATGATTTCAAAAAAATTCTTAGAAAACAGGATAACCAGCCACATTACCCTACAAGGTGAGCTAAATCCTAGAAGGAAATCTATCGACATATACTGATGGCAGGTGTTTTTTTATATTTCCATGGCAGGTCGACGTGGGCTCTAACACCACACATCTCAAATGCCTCTGCAACCATCTGACGTCTTTCGGCGGAAACTTCATTCAAGCTCCCAATCCCATTGACTTCGACAAAGTTTTCACGGAGTTTGCTCGACTTAGCGAGTCGGGCAACATTTCAGTGCTCGTGACAATTGCATGTGCGTTCCTTATTTACTTTGTAGCTCTTATATTTGCAAGGAGGGCTGACAAAAGAGATGAAAGCAAGGTATGAATTTAAGTATTGCATGTAATATTTACGTACAAATCATCCCGCAGTAGTAATACAGTTAAGTGCTTACGATGAGAAATATGACCTTTTCCAATTTTTACTCTATACCAAAGTGTAGCTTTCTTCTTTATTGTCTCTTACATCCAAAGAAATGAAAGAATGTGTCAAGCAATGTGAAATCAAATTGAAACAGTCTTTTTAAGTTAAGGAGGTGTTTTCGCTGGACATTTCAATTGTTTAGCGGGGAAATAATCGAAAGTTCGGTCTCCCATCATCAGCTCAATGACGTTACTCTTTGTGTGGCACCACTACCATATTAACAAGGTAAACTATGTTATGTTTACTTGTTTTCGCAGATTTTCTCACCGCTACAAATAAATCTTGTTGAAGAAGGAACATACTACTACGACATGGTTATCAGCACTGGCGTCTGGAAAGATTCAGCAACAACGGCAAACGTAACGATGAGCATTAAAGGAGACAACGATGAACATGATCTCATTACTCTTCAAAAACATGGTGATTTACAGGAAGTTTTTGGTCGAGGAAGTATAAACGGTTTTGTTCTGGTTACAAACGAGTCATTAGGAAATCTAAACGAATTAACTTTGGAACAAGATAATTCAGGCGAAAATCCATCTTGGTTTGTAGAAACAGTGGTAATCAGAGACAGACAAACAGAAGAACGCTGGGTGTTCCCCATAAATAGATGGCTTGCACTTGAAAAACACGATGGGCAGATAGAAATTAGTGTAAAAAGCAAAGCAGCTACATCCTTTTCGGCGGAGGTGAGATCGCGTTTTGGGAGAAAGATAGCTGACAGCCATTTGTGGATGTCAGTCTTCAGTAAAGCGTGCAGTAGTACATTCACGCGCGTGCAAAGAGCGTCGTGTTGTCTTTCAATTCTCTTCAGTGCAATGATAGCCAATGCCATGTTCTATAATATCGGCGGGGAGTCAGCGGGAGCAATACAAATTGGACCTTTCAAGTTTTCCTGGAGACAAATAGTCGTTGGAGTACAGAGTGCTATAATAGTTGCACCTGTAAACGTTCTGATAGTGTTTCTGTTTAAGTCTAGTAGAACAAAGGAGAAGAAAGAAGACAAATATAAAGATTCATTTCAGGCACAACAGCTCGTCGATGAAGTAAATGGTCAAGGCTGTATGCTACCACATTTCTGTGTATACATCGCTTGGTTTCTCTGCTTTGTCACCACTATGACAGCAGCAACATTTACGTTATTTTATAGTTTAATGTGGGGTAAGGAAGTCGCTGAGCAGTGGCTGGCCTCCATTCTTATTTCCAATGGACAAGACGTTTTTGTTATGCAACCAACAAAGGTCATGTTAGCAGTTATTTTAGTTTCCTTTCTTATGACTAGAAACAAACAGGATGATGTGGAAGAGGGAGATGTAAAAGATGGTGAACTTCATGACGATAACGTGGATTTTTTAAGTGATAATCCTAAACAACGCTTTAAACAGAGCCTCATGGAGAAAATGCGCATACGAAGCAGAAAAGAGGCTCAGTTAGCAAGTAAAGCGAGGGAAATTGTCTTCCATTTATTATTTGTGTTTCTGCTGTCTGTAGTCTGTTATGGCAACAAGAATGAGAATCGTTTCTTGATGACAACAGAGATGAAAAATATTTTCGCAAGCTTTGATCAGGTATGAACCACTTTGTTTTTATATCTTTTAAAATTGAAAATCGATAACATTAAGGATAACAGTGATAGTGATAATAATGATAGAAATAACGATAACGATGATTAGTAATGGCAACTGAACTGAGTGGAGTCCAATTCGGTTTGTAATCAAGGAGTGATTTATTGCTTACCAGTATTAATACTGAGTGAATTGGGCGATATAAAATTTTGTTAGCAGAATTCAAACTATGACTAACTTTGAGAGAAAAACTCGGCATCTATGATTGCTTTTCAAAAAAAAAAATGAACAAACAAACAGACAAGCAAACAATTTTTTTCTGACGAAATGCGCGACAATGGCGTGCACATATGACGAGTGCTATCTAATTACACAGGCAAGGCGCGCACACTGGTAAAAAAAACTGTGCAATTAAAAGCATGGCACTTACATTGTCCTAATTAATACCCAGACCGGGATGATGAGAATCAATCACGTTCGATAATTCTGTTACAAATAGACTTGATTACAATGATCATGATGAGGTTTATTTCATAATGAGTTAGAGTGGTGTAGTGAAGTAGGGAATGGTGTAGTCGCAGTGTATTTGGAACGGGTTTTTGTGGGACTTGATCAGACAAGGCTAATGAAGCCTGCTAATGATGATCTTAGTTCCCTCCTTCTACAGTTCTTATCATTTTCATTCATCTTTTTATTAGGCGAAACGAAGTAAAGGCGGCAGTACTAAATGCAGTGTAGAAGTTTGGTTATGTTAAGTTTCTGAATAACATATAAATCACTCCCTTTTACTTAACTTAACTTAACCCAATACAAGTCAATATTTAGTTCCTCAATCTAATTATGTGAACTTACTTTTGTGTTCCGTGTTAAGGTGACTGATTCGCGAAGACTGTCGAGATGGCTGGCAGAGAAGTTTCTACCAAACGTATACAACCAGGACTGGTATAATGGCCTCGAAGAACCAAATGATGTTTACATCGCCAATAAGATGTCCATACTGATTGGCATGCCTTGGATGCGACAGTTAAGAATTCTTAAAAGTACGTTTGATGATAATTACATTTGACTCAATTATAATACTATTTTTATACGATTAATTTTATTACGATTCGTTTCAAACTTCTGATTCCTTTTTTTCGTGTCCTGAAGGTCATTGTAAGTCACTTCCTGCAACTATACGAGACTGCTACTACGATTATTCTCCAGAGATAGAGGACACAACAGAGTTGAGTCTTCCAGGCTGGCGGCCACTTCCCTTTAATACATCCTGGCCAAAGGCACTTCGAATTTGTCCAAAACCCTGGCGTTACCAGACAGCTGAAACGCTGGACACTGATCCTGTAAAAGCCGTGTACAACACTTATGGAGGAGGTGGTTACGTAGCCGTCTTGGGATATGATGAGCAAACAGCACGTGGCGTTTTAGATGAAACCATTGGCCATGGATGGCTTGATCGAAGTACTCGATCAGTAATTGTGGAGCTTGCGACGTTCAATATCAATACAAATTTAATTAGCATTGCTACGTTTATCTACGAAATGATTGCAGCTGGTGCAGCCTACACAGTTATGAGAGTGGACACCCTTGAGTTGTACAGCACAGAGTCGGGGGCTCTCATGTTTTATCTCATTTGCCAGTTTTTATTCTTGGCAATGGTGCTATTCTACCTCATCATGATGTTGTTTCACCTTTACCGACAACGGTTGGGTTTTTTCAAGTCTGTCTGGAATATGGTTGATTTCTTGATGATCATCTCTTCTACAACGTCCGTTGCGTGCTACATGATGAGATCAAAGAAAATCTTAAACAGCATCAATGCAATTCAAAAAAATCCTTTCGAAATAATTCATTTTCATTCTGCTTTAAATTGGGCCAGCTGGGAAAATGCTTCTATTGCTCTCGCGATTTTTATGGTTACAGTGAAGCTCCTAAATCTTATTCGTTTTAATCCTTACGTCATATATTTGTTTTCATCTTTCCGCCAGTCTGCAGGCTACCAACTGTCCTATTTTGTTTTCTTTGTCATAGTATTCAACGCGTTTGTTATATCAGGAATGCAGCTTTTCGGAGGAGTAGTTTATCATTACTCTAGTTATCTGCATGCTGTCATTTCGCAATTTGAATTTCTGTTGGGTAAAGCAGTCCCAATTGCTGATCTTCGCAAAGACAAACCTTTTATCGGTCCAACTTTTGTTTTTTTTTTCATGTTAATGATGACGATATTTCTTATGAATATGTTGGTATCTGTCCTGAACGAATCCTACACTGACGCTAAGGATAACGCAGAAGGAAGTTCAGAAGAGCTCGAAATGGCGCGCTTCATTGGGGAACGTTTCATGGACTTATTTCAAGAAGGAAAAAGGCGACCAGAATTTAAATTATTTTGTGACGAAACAACTTTTGTCAACATGTGTCGTTCCGAGGCAGAACCGTTCTGTTTAAATTCTCAAAGTCTTCTTCAGTGCACGGAGGAACGGTTGGGAAAACTAGATAAAAGAATAAGCGCAGTCATGAGACGGACAGAGAACATCGATGGTGATGAACTAGAGGAGGAGGAAGAGTTTCATTCTCTGCTCTTGTTATTGATTAATTCTCATTAGTATTAAGATACGTTAACCTTCATTTTGAGCCGATTTTAGAAGGAACCAACTTTGTGAGATCTCGATTCTACAAGGCTTCAATTCTTTAAGTTTGAAGTAGTGACATTTTGGTTCCCGAACAGTTCTGGCTTATCCGGCTCACAATCGCAACGTTACTTATGGAATTCCCAAATGATTTTTCAGATTAGATATAGGAAATCTGAAACTGAGTAAAGCAGGTCCATGCTCGACGAACACAAGGCGTATAAGTAACAGAACACACATAAAAAACGATCTCGTCATGGCGCGCATCCCCTCCAAGACCCACTTCCTGTAAGATATGAAAATTCATGCAAAACTTTCGTAATCGCAAGAACTTCCTGACTGTATTTTCACCAATGAAACCTAAGTTTTACCGCATTGTCTTTTGTTAAATATCATGACGTCATTTGATATTGTGTCAGCAAGCTATGTATTCAATGTTGAGGTTTTTTTAATTTATTTTAACTAAGCGTTTAAGGAGTCGATTCAGTCGAAATAGTAATGAAAAAATAGCTGAATTAGGCAAGAGATGAAGGGAAATACATGCTTCTGATGGTAGACTTGCCCATTTATTTGTAGAATTAATTATCAGAAAAAGGTTTTGCCCTCATTAAGCCTAAAATCGACTATCGCCCTGGACCACGACCACCTAACACATTCTACGACAACTCGTAATGTTGACCGCAAAGGAGATTATAAGACTAATCAGCCAGAATTGGAGGTGAAGCAGGAAATTTAGACCCTAAAGGTTTTTTCATTTGTTTTGCTTTGTTTTTCTGGTTTGCCTTTGACTTTCTTTCTTTCCTTTTTTTCCTCTCTTTTTTTTTGCTTCGTGGCATAAATGTTATCATATCAAGTAATTTAAGACTTAAATGTTAAAAGCTTATTGCAGAGGGGCAAGTTAAGAAATTAGCGCCTTCCTCTCAATAAGTTGGTACCATCGGTGAGTAAGGAGGTGGTCGATCTTCAAATTGAGAGTGCTCTTTCGAGATGTTTCCAATCTATATATCACGCGAGATACGCAGAAAAGTTTTTGTTTCATCGGCCGATGTTGTCCTTTATTTTTTTTTCTCTAAGTACATAGTTAGACATATAATAACTTATGTATCATTAAGTCCGATGATTTAAATGATTTTAAGATGATCATTTACTTTCAATTAATGTTACGTCATCAGTAATATGGTAACTAAATATTACGTAGTGATCGGTAGTATTGTAAATTAGGTAACTTAATTAGAGACACTGCGTAAGTGTTTTATCGTAGATTGTATTAGTCTCATATATTCCGCTTTATAAATAGTTTACAATGGTAATAGGATCGAGTGGAGTCGAAATCGGTCTGATTATTAAGTGATCATCATGAGTGATTAATTAAATCGAGCTATGAGTTCAAATGTGATTACAGATAGAATTGATCGATCTTATGAGTAGAATCGAACTGATGAGTTCGAGCATGATTTCAGATAGAATCGGACGACACGAATTATCATAATTGTATGATAATGTATGCGCCCAAGATGGCTGCAACGTGTTACTTTGTTCTCATCATATTAGGTTTTTTTATTTGTTTTCCTACTCTCTTTCGATCATCATTTATCAATTTTTCGGTTTATGAGAGTCCTCTTACTTTATTGCTGAGATGTCATGGTCCTCCTCGCGCAGTTAGATTGGTGGATGGAAGAAACAAACTTAGGCGCTCGATTTGTACTTGGTGCAAACGTGGTCACTTGACGCTTGGTCTGCCTACAAAATTTGACCTTACTATCTTCGTGGACGTTGAATCTAATCCTGGTCCAACATCCCCTCGGATGGTGGGGATACATAAAGAACAAAACGCCTATCTGGGATATGAGTTCTCTGCGTTTTCGACTGCAACGAAATCGATGAATTGGCTTAATCACAATTTACAACACACTTCTCCATTAGTGCCTTTTGTTCGTCGTACTCAGAGCTTCTGCTACAACTGGAATCTCCCATGTAGTTTACTTCCTCTGGGCAAAAATTGTCAAAGAAAGTTTAGAGGTTGCAGAGCGGGAAAAATAGTTCAAGAAAAGCGGCGGCGCTTGAATTATATTCGAGCTTTGGTCTCACCCCAAGGCTGTCGATTAAATTCTTCACGATCTACATGCATGATGAAGACTCCTGTTGGATCGAATCTTAGAAATTTAATTGAACTTACTCCTAACCCGATTAAAAGCTACACACCAAGGGCTCGCTTCGTGAATTTTTGCTTGCTAAATGCTCGTTCAATTAACAACAAGACTACTATCATCAAGGACTTTGTCGTCGAAAATAATATTGATCTTCTTGGCTTGACAGAAACATGGCTTCAATCAGATGCTGACAATGAATTAATTATTCGTGATTTATGTCCTTCAGGTTATTCATTTCATCATGTTCCTAGACCTGGTTCTACTCGTGGAGGAGGAGTTGGCTTGTTATTTCGATCATCTTTCAACTTAAAGTTGCAGCCGCTCAAGAAGTTTTTGTCCTTTGAATATATGGATTTGTTATTGTCAAGTACAGTCGGTTTAAAACTCAGAGTTATTATTGTTTATCGCCCACCTCCCTCGACCTTGAATGGTTTAACACCCTCATTGTTCCTTGATGAGTTTTCTACGTTCCTGGAGCACTATATCGCTGATCCTGGTGGAATATTATTAGTTGGTGATTTTAATATACATGTTGACACCTGTTCTTCCCAACACTCAACTGAATTTCTTCAATTGTTGGATTCTTTCAATCTTACTCAACATACACATGGCTCAACGCATAAAGATCGACACACCTTAGATCTTGTGATTACAAGATCTGATGATAGTATTGTTTCAAATTTAACAATTGGTTCTCCTTTTGTCATCTCTGATCATGCTGCTGTTCACTTCCAGCTCTCGCTTAATAAGCCGCCGCTCGACAAGAAGATTATTTCATTCAGAAAGCTTCGATCTATTGATTTTGATAATTTCTGTGCTGATGTTATGAATTTGAGCCTTCCTGATCTTTTTGCCTCGTCATCGTCATCCTTGGATTATTTGATTGATCAATATAACAGAGTCCTTACTACCATACTTGAGACTCATGCTCCACTGCAAAAAAAGTTAGTTACTTTGCGTCCCGCTGCACCTTGGTATTCTGAGGAGATAAATAATTTAAAGAGATCCCGTAGAAAACTTGAACGACGCTGGCGAATGACAAAACTTCCTTCTGATCGTAAGTTGTTTATTGAGGGATGTGATGCTGTCAACAACTTAATTCGTGATTCCAAGAAGAATTATTTTGCATCATTAATCAATGAGAATCAGTCAAATTATAAACAGCTTTTTAAGATAATTGATAAACTACTACAAAGGAAAACAGATATTCAATATCCCCCCTGCAAATCGCCCACTGATCTTGCTAACAAGTTTATTAAGTACTTCACTACAAAGATAGATAGAATACGGGGTCATATAACGACTGCTGCTTTCCCTCATCGAGATACAGTTGCTGTTGTTGACAACGCCTGTCCACATTCTTTTGATATTTTCAAAATGGTAACAGCGGATGAAGTTCATACATGTATCATGAATCTGGCTGCTAAGTCATGTGCTCTTGATCCTCTTCCTGGTTATGTTACAAGAAATGCACTTAGTGTTCTGTTGCCTTTCATTTCCAAAATCATAAATATCTCATTGGAATCTGGTCAGATGCCTTCGCAACTCAAGGTTGCAATGTTACGCCCGCTCCTTAAGAAATCTTCTTTGGATCATACTCAATTCTGCAATTATCGTCCGGTATCGAATCTTTCATTTATTAGCAAAGCAATTGAAAAATTGGTAGCTAATCAACTTATCTCCTACATTAACGATTATGAGTTAAATGAGACATTCCAGTCGGCGTACAAGAAATATCACAGTGCTGAAACTGCACTTATTCGTGTTCACAATGATATTCTTTCTGCCATTGATAATCGTCGAATCGTAATTTTGCTGTTGTTAGACCTTTCCGCTGCCTTCGATACAGTCGATCATACCATCCTCCTCTCTCGTTTACGTGTACGGTTTGGGATAGCTGGGAAGCCTCTATTATGGTTGCAATCTTATTTATCGAATCGCACGCAATATGTCTCCGTTGATGGTGGTACTTCGACGAAACATGACCTTAAATGTGGAGTGCCACAAGGATCGGTTTTGGGACCCATTTTGTATTTGCTTTATACTTCACCGCTTTCAGATATCGTAAAGAAATTTAACCTGAGCTATCATTTTTATGCTGACGACTCACAGCTTTACTTGTCTTTCCAACCAACCGTTCTGGGTGATAGGGATCTAGCGGTTTCTAGCATCGAGAGCTGTGTGGATGAAATCAGTCATTGGATGATGGTTAATCGTCTTAAATTAAATAAAGACAAAACTGAATTATTGGTAATTTCCGCTAAACATCTTCCAAGACCACTCCTTCACGAAATTTCAGTTGCTGGTGAGACTATTCCTTCCGTGCAAAAGGCGAGGAATATCGGCACTATGTTCGACAACCATTTTTGCTTTAAGGATCATATTACTGACATTTGTAAATCTTCATTTTATCATTTGCGAAATATTAGCTATATCAGGAAATATCTTTCAGCGACCACTACTGAATTGCTGGTTCATATGTTTGTATCTTCGAAGCTGGATTACTGTAATTCCCTTTTGTATGGCCTACCAGCCTACGCTATAAAAAGGCTACAACACGTCCAGAATGCCGCGGCGCGCCTTGTCACACTTACAAAAAAGCATGATCACATTACGCCTGTTCTTTTCAATCTTCATTGGCTTCCCGTTAACCAACGTATTATTTTTAAGTTTTTACTTATAACCTACAAGGCACTTAACAACCTGGCACCGTCGTACATTTGTGATCTGCTTACATCTTACACCCCATCGCGTCAACTACGCTCATCATTCAAGCACCTTCTGGTTTCTCCATCCTATAACTTGAAAACATATGGCGCAAGATCC